ATGACCAGTCGGACAGGGCTCATGCTTATAACAGTAGCTTGGTGGAGTAGACTCATTGCCAGTAGACCATGCCACGCAAAGAGTATCGCAGGGAACCAGGCCATATCTGTGCAAGCTTTACAGTCCCGGTCATGTGATGCTGCAGGTCGGAGGCGGCATAACGCATCACACAAACCCTCTATGCCTTCATCCTCTGGCCATTTACTGTCAACATCGTCTTCCCGCACATGCTACCGCTGTGGGTCTGATAAACTTTTGGCCAATGCACAAAACTGCCCTGCTATCCGTGCAAAATGTAAAAATTGCCAGAAGACGGGACATTTTGCCTGTGTGTGTCGATCGATTGACACACGTTCAGTGCACGAGATTCACCTGCCGGAGTATAGCGTTCTTTACATGCATGACCAAGCCAAGCATGACCTGTTTCCATAACAGCTTCTGATACTACTGTAGAGGTTGAGCTGATGGTGGATACCGGCTCATCTGTCTCCATTCTACCAAAGGCGATATATGAGGCCAGCTTTACTTCTGTGCCTCTTCAGACACCTACTGCTCGCCTGTTCACATACTCACATGCACCGATCCCTGTGTTGGGGTGCTTACCCGCCACTGTGTCTAGAGATACTGTTACATGCGCCGCCAAACTCTTCATAGTTGAGCATGTATCTAGGACTAAGGACTAAGCCTGCGCTTCGAGGGTCAACGTTTGCTTCCACCCCTCCCTACTACTGAATCCGAGAGTCCCTCTTCTGCTGTAATGTGTCTTTCAGAACCATCCGCAGCTTTGAACGCACTGGGTTGCGCAAAAGGGTTCATCCACAAAGTTAAGCTCTTCAGAAATGTTGCTCCGGTCCATCAAAAACTGTGGCGCTTACCTCTGTCTGTGCGCTCTGCTGTTTCCAAAGAGTTGGATCACCTTCTCAAAGAAGGGTAATTGAAAAAACTGACAAGTCTCCCTGGGTTTCCCTGATCGTTGTCACGCAAAAGAAAATGGGTGGTATCCATTTTTGTGTCGATCTTAGAGAGCCCAATAAAGCTATCATGACCGGCAGTTACCAATTGCCACATATGGAAGAGTTGCTCTCACTACTTAATGGGGCTACCTTATTCTCGACCATAGATCTTCAAAGGGTATACCATCAGGTCGTGTTGCACCCAGATAGTAGAGATTTAACTGCTTTCATTACGCATAATGGTTTGTTCCGTTTTGGTCGGGTCCCATACGGATTGGCCTCGGCTCCGTCGGCGTTCCAGAAAATGGTGCACCTTATATTGCAAGACCTACCGAACATGGCAAACTACTTGGATGATATTATAATCTGGGGACGCACTGCTGAGGAGCACGAAGGCTCTCTGAAAGCCGTTCTGCAACGTTTGCAGGATTCTGGGCTAAAAATGAATGCATCAAAATGTCACTTCAGTCAGACCAACTTACAGTTCCTAGGCCACACAGTTACAGCGCAGGGTATAAAGCCAGACAAACAACACTTGTCTGCAATTTTACAGGCTCCGGCTCCTACAGATGCCGTGAAGCTGCACTCGTGCCTGCTGTCTTGGTCCAGTAAATTCATTCAGAATTTTGCCTCTGTGGTTGAGCCATTACGTGCCTGTTTGCGAAAGGACACAGAGTTCTCCCGGTCAGAAGAAGCACAGAACAGTTTCGCTTCGGTCAAAGAGTTACTTGTTAATAGTCCTGCTTTGGCCCTTTACAACCCTGATCTGCCTACACTCATCTCGACTGACACATCTGATTATGGTCTCGGGGCCGTGTTCTCACAAATACATCCTGATAATTCTGAACGCACCGTGGCCTTCGCGTCAAGAACACTTACCAGCCGAACGCAAATATTCGACCGTGGAAAAGGAGGCGCTCGCTTGTATTTGGGCAGTCGAGAAATGGAGGACATACTTATGGGGTCAAACATTAAAATTGTGTACAGATCATCAGGCTTTAACCACTTTACTCACTACTAAAGGGGGGGACCGCGCAGGAATGCGTATTGCACGCTGGGCCACGAGCTTGCTGTGTTTCAATTATGAAGTGATCTTCCGACCAAGCTGTCATAACTTCACTGCCAATTGTCTGTCCCGTCTCCCTCTACCTTATGAACCCCTCGGAAGTGATTCAGATACTGAGCCAGAACAAGTAGCTTTGCTTACTTCTGCGCTGACAGCCGTGACTCCAAAAGAGTTTGCAGCTGCTTCTTCCTCCTGTCCCGAGATGTGCAAGCTGCACGAACAGTTTCAGCGAGGCTGGCCGCGCTCATCTTCACACGATGAACCCCTCCTGCTGCTATTCCACAAACTGAGATACGAATTATCTGCAACGGACGACTTCATCCTGAGGGGATCACGTCTCATTGCACCTGTGTCCTTACGTCATAGGTTAGTGCTGCTTGCACATGAGGGGCACCAGGGCATAGTACGCACGAAGCAATGGCTACGTGATCTATACTGGTGGTCACGGATGGATGAATCGGTCATGCGCGTTATCGCTTCCTGTCAAATGTGTCAAGCATTGGACAAAACCGCAAAAATACACCCTGCCTCACTGCAGCCTGTGCCTTTTCCTCCTGAGCCCTGGAAAAAATTAGCAATGGATGTAGTGGGCTCATTCGAGTCGGCTAACTGGGACTGCCGTTATGCCTTAACCCTTGTGGACTATCACAGCAAATGGCCTGAAGTTGCTTTTGTGTCCTCAGTGAGTGCAAAGCAAGTGATTAATTTCCTAACCTCTGTGTTTAGCCATCATGGGAACCCGGAATGTATAGTGACGGATAACGGACCCCAGTTTACAGCCGCTGAATTCTCTGCCTTTCTTGGAGCAAGGGACATCGCTCATGTGCGCACACCAGTATACCATCCAGCTGCCAACGGGGCAATCGAGTGCTTTCATAGAGTGCTCAAGAGTTGCGTACAGTCTGCTATACTTTAGTCGCAACCATGGAAAACCACTGTTACAGAATTCCTCCACATCTATAGATCAACGCCACATTCCACTACTGGTGTGACGCCTTTTGAATTGTTGCACGGGAGGAAAATGCGCACTCGCTTGGATGTCTTGCCCTCTTTAACATCGGAAGGGCTTACAGATGTGGTGCGTGGGTGAGTCTCCCACACAACAAGCTAAAATGAAGCGGTGGTTTGACACAAGGTGCAGAGCACGTACTACTGTTCTAAAACAAGGGGACAAAGTGCGTGCTAAGTTTCTGTGGCACGTACCAAAAGGACACCCACGATTTTTACAGCCAAAAGAGATCAGGAAGCAGGTGGGAAAGAATACTTTCATTCTTTCAGATGGAAGGAAATGGCATGCTTCACAACTGGCGCTGTCTGCTGTGGGAATGAAAAGAGTCGATGTGGCTGATTGGCTTACGCAGCTTCCTCACGAGCAGTGTACCTGGACCTGGTGATTGTAATTCACCCCGTTCTCAGAGGGTGAGGTGTCCTCCAAGATGGTTAAAAGACTATGTGCACTAAAGGTCCAAACGCAAATAATTGAATTTGAAGTTTGTTGTTGTATTTGATATGCCTTTGAACACGTTAAATTGTGCATAAGAATTGAGTTCGGAAGTCATGTTACATATTAATGCGTTCAGTTGTGAATTTCTAAAGGAATTGCTAAAGGAGAAAATTTTCTTGGGTAAAAGGGGAATATGTTATATTGTTGACACTAGGTGTCGCTGTGGGGTAGAAGTAAGAGGGGGAAGAAGTGTGAGAAGAAGTGTATGGTTGGTTGTGCTGTTGCATATGTTTATTAAAAAGAGCATCATCTGAGTTACAGTGTACTTCCTTGTGTCGATTGCATCTGTAGAGGACATAACACTCATTTAGAACAATATAGTAATTTGGTTTTAGCCAGGTTTCAGTCAAGCAGAGTACATCAAAACTATTATCTGTGATAATTTCATTTACAATAACTGCTTTGGGTGTGAGTGATCTAATGATTATGAGCCCAAACTTTAAAAATTGTTTATGTTCATTTATTTTACATTTTTCTGGTTTAATCACGATCAGATTTTTTCTAGATCCTGCATTAAATTTATATTTTGACCTCCCTATTTGGGGAACAGACACAGTCTTAATAGATTGGACAGCATAAGTAGTTCTATCATTTAAGCAGGTAGCACAAAAGCCATCATAGCAGTTATTTGAGAATTGGCTTACTAGTCATATGGAGCGCAGCGTTCTGGAGATGTTCTGAAAATGTGATGATGATCTGAAAATATGTCAGATAGTGTACACTACTGTTCAAATGTTTGGGTCAGTAAGATTTGTTTTATTTTTTTATTTGTGTTTTTAAATATATTAATATTTTTCTTCAGCAAGGATACATTCAATTTATCAAAAGTGACAGTGAAAAAAACACATTTACAGTTTTTTTTAAAGATTACAGTCTATCACAAACAAACTGATGATACTATATGATGACAGCAATCGTGCTCATCCTCATCTCAGCTGCCCTTTTGAGTAGGTATTTTAAAGGAAGATCTTTACCATCAGAGCAATCTGAGAAAGAGCTGATGGTTAATTGACTATTCGCACCAGTGGCCTTTAGGCCATTATCTGTCTGCTCAACATTACCTTCTGTTGAAATATAGCTGTCTCTCTACAAAGAGTCGTACAAAAGGTCTAAATGTGCTGTGGTTTCAAGAGGATCACTGTGGGCAGAAAACATGAGTTGTCAGCACTGTTCATTCAACCTCAACTCTTCGCTTTATCCTGAAGTTAAGATGAATGTTTTCTTGGTGGTATTGCACTTTTATTTTGCACCCATTTTTATGTTGCCCTCGTTAAATGCAGACATCTAAACTCTCACTTTTATTCTTTCAGTTTCACTGTACAGTAATTTTTTTGTTTGTTTTGTTGTTTCACAGCTGTTGTTCCTGGCTCCTTTTAAAAGCTGCTTTCCTTAAACCATTCATAGTATGTGCTATTGATTTTCACCTTGGTGTGTTTTCTTTCCCTGGTGTAAATGCATGTCACCCTGGGTTTTTCAGCCTCAAACCCGTGCGAGGATAACGATGGAAGAGGCCCTTGCTCCCATCTTTGTCTCATTGATTACAACCGCACGGCATCTTGTTCATGTCCTCATCTCATGAAGCTTTCCCTCAACAACCACTCTTGTGTGGGTGAGTATGCAGCTCTGCGACATCCCACACAACAAACAAAGCATGCACACAAAAGTATGGATCGGTTTGAGCTTTCTAGACGAAGTATTGACTTATATATGTTTTGTTTTGGCACGCACATTAGCCCTGAAGAAGTTCATGTTGTATGTGAGACGATCTGAGATCCGTGGAGTGGATATCGATAATCCGTATATGAACGTCATGACTGCTTTGACGGTTCCTGACATTGATGATGTCACTGTGGTGGATTATGACACTCTTGAGGAAAGGATATACTGGGCGGACGTTAAGACTCAAACAATAAAACGTGCCTTTATCAATGGAACAGGCCTTCAAACTGTTATTTCTGGAGGTGAGTCGAGAGTCCAAGTCGAAGTGTTTTTCTTGTTTCTTTTTTCACATTCTGTGTGGTGTAAGATTTTTCTCAATAAACACCACCTAAGTGACAGTTATTACATTTTGTGCTGTTAATAAGTTTTGTTGCGATTTTTTTTCTCTCTGCTGCCACAGTGTAAGTTTGAGCTGAAATACTGTTTTATTTTGCTGACACTTTTGTCTTAAATAGTTTTTTCAATTACGAGAAGACTGTGTTCACAGGCGGCCTGCATTAAAAAATGACAGTTGAAGGAATGTGCGGCAGAACATAAATAATATCTTACATGATAGGAGAGCTTGTTTGTGAAGTTCTGCAGGGATTGCTTCTCCGAACTGCATTAAGAAAAGCAAGAGAAGTGCGACATGAAGACTGAAGTAGATTTTCTTAAGTGCTGTTAGAAAGCATGGTTTATTTCTTCTCAAACTGATCAGCATGCCGACCATGTGTCAATGCACACAAGACATTTTATTACAACATGCACATAAGTGTTGCAGTCGCCCATGAGGTTTGTTGTGATGTGCACCTCTGTGTTAATGGCTGTCTCTGGCATGTGCAGATATTCAAAACTGCCGTGGGCTGGCAGTAGATTGGCTCTCGAGGAACATGTATTGGCTGAGCTCTGAGAATGAGGAGACGCAGATCAATGTTGCCCGACTAGACGGATCTCTAAAAACCTCAGTCATCTATGGGATTGACAAACCAAAGTGTCTGACTGTGCACCCAGCCAAAGGGTAAGCTGCCCACATGGACCGATTGCATGTATGATTAAGTAAGATTTGTGTTTGCTTATTTATTTTGTCATGTCAATCTTAGATACAAACCATGAGAATTTATCTCATGACTCAAATGGTTCTCCTGAAATTTACTTTGTTTCATGGTCTAGAAAAATCTACTGGACCGATGGAAGTACAATAAATGTAGCCAATATGGATGGAAGCAACAGGAAGGTTCTTCATCAAAATCAGAGAGAACCAGTTGGTATGTCTGATTTCAGGCTATCTGCAAACATTTCACTATTACTGTATGTCTTAATTTCTCTCTCGGGGGTTTTAAGTACAAGAGGAATTGTACTACATTGATATAGTTAAGTCTTATTTTTTAGAAATTAGTTTTTTATTGAAATAGAATACCTGTACTCTTATTTAATTACATTTACGAGGAGAAAACCATACGTGTTATAACTTACCATTTTCTTTAGACGTTCAAAGAACAAAGAACATATTTTGCATGCCATCATGTTTTATTTCCACTTATAAAGAACAAATATTTTACATAACTTTTATTTAAAATAGCCAGCAAAATCCATTTCAGTCTATATTGTAAACAACTATGGTCATTTGTCCTTGTGAAGAGACCTCTGATTAGTCACCCCAACATTGACCTACAGTTAAGCAATAGCTGTAATTAATTCATTTTTAATATTACCATTGTGAAATTGATTTTGAGTCTCTATAAACTGCTGCTGAATTTAGACAACTTCCAGGGCATAAGTTTCATATATATATATATATTACATTTCCTATCCACAGCCTTACAGAGTCAGGACCCTGAGAAAATTGCTATTTAACAGGTTGCTTTACAAAATGTATGCATGAAAGTTACTTTAATGGAAAAATCTCCCTGGCCTTTTGATTTTATCAGTCTATTTCTAAAGCTAATAAAAAAAAGTTTACTTTTTAACACACAGAAACATAGTAGTGCTTTGGACTTTTTTGAGTAAAACATCTACACAATTCCCATCCTCAAGCCTAAATATATTTCCTCTGTACTTTTTATACCCCTGTACCTGTATGTTCATTGATAAGCCAAGCACAATGCTTCTTTAGTTTTAACGGCAGTCTTAGAGAAGATGTCTTGAGAGTTAAATTTCTGTTGTTGTTGTTGGGAGTCTATCATGCACAAGCCCCTCTCAGTCAGAGCTGTCCTGACGCTCAATTGAAATATCCTTCACTTGTCACAATCAGTTTTACCACTCTGTCAAACTCTCACCATTTCCACTTTTGAAACAGGTTTTAGACAGAGATGGATTTTAGTGAAGTGATTTAGAGTGTCACAAAGAGGCCGCAACTATATTTCGAGCTATAAAGAACCATCTCACATTCAGATACTGTACATTGATAGTTATAGGATATGTAAGGTATATTTTGAAGTAATGATCAAACAGGATTCCATAGCAGCAATCCAAACAACAGTTTCTAACTGATTCTTGTTTTCCCTCAGGACTTTCGATTGACTTTCCAGCTGGGAAGATGTATTGGATCAGTTCTGCTAATGGTACTATCAACAGGTGCAATCTGGACGGTAGTGGTTTTGAGGTCATTGAAAGCATGAAGAGGGACTTAACTAAAGCCACGGCTTTAGCAGTCATGGGTAAGTGATAGAGCGTCTAATTCCCTCTTCAATAGTCAATTCATTGTGAATTCTTTATTAAATTACTGTACTTTTGTTGCTGTGACAATATAAACCACAACATAAACCTATGAACATAAGTGAAAATAAAAAGTGGTAAAGAAATGTGTACATTTGTAGATTTGTAGTAGATTTGCCAACTGCCATTAAAAGGAAAAGAAGACGCTCAAATGCTAGTGTTCAGCCGTCATTAAAACCAAAAGAAGAAGAAATGTGCGTGTGTGATGCTCGTGAACCAGTAAGGTCTGTTCTAGTGTATCACACATTTGAGCTTCCGTGTTTAATGTATTTGATGCGCACTTTTGTAACGATCACTCAATCATTTATTGTTTACTTTTATTAACTGTCTGAGATGTCATTGCCATAATGCGTTGCTATGGGTTGCATCTTGCTTCGGATTTGACTTACAGACTGGCATTCTGACACGGCAAGCTTCATGCTTTCTAACCATATCTCCACTTTTCCCTTTATGTAGCAATTATTCTGCTTATTATATATTTAAAATACAAGTTTACATCAGTTGTCCTATATTCTACCAATGTCTTTATACAGTATGCTGAAATACAGTAAATACATTGAGAGAGTTTATCTTATATATGTATGCACTCACATATATATATATTAATTTTACTCTCTGCACAACTCTGTAAACATTGTATTGATTTTAAAATCTTTACTGTACTTGAATTGTGCATCAAACACTGGGAATATACAAGCATCGGTTCGGGACTCGGTATCGGCAGATACTCAATATTCAATGACTCAGAACGGATCGGGGTACAAAAAACCTGATCAGGACATCCCTATAGATAACCATAATCAGAACTGAATATTTCCCTTTTTCCTGTTTATTTTGTATCTGTACTTATTTCATACATTAAAAGAAAAAAAATCTGTTCAGAAAGTCAACACACATTTCCAGTTATTTCTGTTTTGTTCACAGAGATTGCTTAACCAATGTGTGATTTTGGGCCAATGTTTGATTTTACCATCCCTAAATGTCTGGTTAATACAAAACTGTGATTAGTCACTTTACATATTGGTCACAGACTTTAGGTCGATAGTCAAGCCTGGTGCTGCGAGTCTACAGCTACATTGCTTCATAAGGGAAAAGACTGACAACTCAAGACATTTTGTCAAAATAGATTTAAAAAATTCTGTTTAGCCCTAGGAATCACATCATGGTATGAGAATAAAGAGCAAATGTTGGTTACCTGAGGAGCGTAAACAGTCATCTCAGTGTTGAAGAAGTGGTGAAGTTGGATTGATTTAGCTTTATATAGACCAAGATAATAAAGGCTGTCTTGGAAGATATCCATTTGATTTGACGCAATTTTTAATCACACACTTTAGACCTACTGTATGACTCAAATTACAGCTCTAACCATTGCCCAAAAGCTGTAATTCTAGGGATTATAGAGAATTCACTCATACTGGCAGCGTCAGAAGCAGCAAGAATTGCATAACTTTTTTTTTCACCCTAAAGCAAAGGAAAGCAGTAAATGCAGCAAAGCCTGTAATTGTGCACTTTCACTTTTTTGTATTAAACAAATCTCCTTTCTCTGTCTTGGGTTTTGCCTGAATGTATTACACTCCTTTGTTTTGGATTGCATCTGACATGTTTTCTCACATTACTCTCTGCCTGTCTTTGTGGGTAGAAACGTATGCCCCCAAATTATTCATTAGCATGTATTTATTTCCCTAAACCACAGTTTTAACTGATTACACTGTCTGCATGCTACAAAGGTATTAATCTTTAGAAAACCTCTATAGTCACGTTCTATTTTAGAGCAGCTATGATGAGCTGAAAAACAAATGCAATTTGTAAGAAGTGGTGACAGACTCGTTTAATTAAACAAAGTTTGAGTCATTATTAAATTGGGAGCAGAATGCAGGCTGCCACAAAGACTAATGGGTTACTTTCAAAGAAGTAGCACGGTACAGCAAAATGATGCATTCAGTAGGTGCTATCTATCATAATTAATAGGCCTTTGTTCCATAGAGGAAATGCTTTCCGTTACTTCTGCAAAAACCTATGGCTCTGCTTTGGTGGACAGTTATGTTTCTCATTTATAGTATGACAAACTGTCAGTTTTTGGTGCAGATGTTTTTTTTTGTGTGTGATTGCTTGTGTTGAGACTTCTTGTGCCTCTTGGAAGGCTACAATAGGATATGACATACTTCCAAGATCAACAATTCAATACAGAAATTCAGTAGCTGGTTGATTATTTTAGAATTTTTCCTACTACATCAAATTTCAGATTTTCTTAACATGTGAAGATGGATAACAAATGCAAACATTATTGCCTATATCTTCTCTTTCAGAATTAAATGCAGATTAAATCCATACTGTATATAAATAAATATAAATATAAATAAATATGAAAAATTTATTAAATGTGAATACACTACCATTCAAATTTTGGGGTCTGTATTTTTTTTTTTACATTTTTGAAAGTCTCTTAAGCTCACAAGACTACATTTAATTGATAAAAAATACAAAATAAAACAGTAATCTTGCTCAATATTATTACAATTTTAAATAACTATTTTAATATATTTTAATATTTCAGCAGCCTCTACTCCAGTCTTAAGTATCACATGATCCTTCAGAAATATTTGTAATATATAATATGTGGTGCTCAAGAAACATTTATTTTGATCAATATTGAAAACCGTTGTGCTGCTTAATGTTTTTGTAGAATATGTTTTCCCCCCCATAATTCTTTGATGAAAATAAACTTTAAAAGAACAGCATTTATTTGAAATAGATTTGTTTTTGTAACAATGTAAAATCTTTACTGTTACTTTTGATCAGTGCATTTTTGCTCAATATAAGTATTCATTTATATATAAAAAAAAATAAATACATAAAAATAATAATAAATAAATAATCTTATTGACCCCAAACTTTTGAATGGTAGATATATACTGTGCATTTGTGTATATACAGTATGTACACCCACATACATACATACATATAAATATGCGACATGCCACCAGCCTTATGGATCAATTCTACCGATTTTTCAAGCTGTATCACACCTTTATAAATGAAAGACCATCTCAGAGCCTGAATGGCCAGGGGCCGACTACATATGCATGCAGGTGGGCAGATGATCTTGCAGACCCTTGAGTTGGTGTATAAGTGGGCGGTGAGTGGAATTTCACTTTGAATTCCATGTTTCCCTCTTCCTTGCTGAATATGAACTAGTCAAACAATAATATAAGATAATTTCCTTCTCTTTATGACTTGCAAATGCGCAGCATATTTACCATACCATGCATATGGAGTTGATTATAAGGTATAAAATATAAAGTAATCACAACCTCAATGTGAATATGAAAGGAAACAAGGCGAGGAGATGAAAGAATCTCAGTGTGATTGATGTTATCTTTGTGATAAGTAAAGCAGACTGGGGGTTTGTAGGTATAGTCTTTATGATAAGACAGCTATCCCTTCCAAGCACACAAAACGCTGTTTTTCTTTCCAATACAGGCAGTCTTTGTTTTTATCATGCATAAGGCACATTGCCATGCAGGTTACCCACAGAGATCTAAAAGAATGGTATATATTATTATGCAGCATGAGAATGTCATCAGAGAACAAAGAGTCCGATTCAGCATAGAGGAAAATTTTGGAATATGTCCCTTCAACACATGTGTTACAAGTTAAAAGTTTAGGCAGACTTTCTAAAGCTTTATTTATACTATTTTGCACAATTTTAAATAATAAGTCATCAAAACTACGAAATGGCACAACAAATTAAATGGCGACCAAAAATGTTGCCAACCATTGTTTAGATTGCAGCTCTGCAAACTGTGGTTATTTACTCAACCAACTTCATGAGGTAGTTTCTGGGATGCTTTTTAAACAGTGCCATGTGTGCTGGACACTTCTTGGCTGCTTCCCTTTCCTGTCAGGTCTTCAACTGTTTGAAAATGGCATGCTTAAAGATCTATTATTGTTGCTGTTGTCATTAGTATATTATTTATTTTACCACATATGCATGATTTCTTTGCAATAATACTTATATACTAGTTTAGGCCTAACATTGCTTAATTTGATTATGCCAAGTTTAAAAACATTAATACAAAAATTGTATCCATACATCTCTTTCTACAAAAAAAAAGTCTTACAATTATATGTATACAATTATATCTGCTTTAATACACTTATCACAATAACAAAAGCAGTCAATTGTCAAAAGTTTCAGATGTAATGACAAAAATAAGTATTTAGAATGTATAATGTAACTTACAATCTGCAAAGGAATGGAAAATGTTTAAATACTCCATTAAATTTCATGGAACTTTACGTAAACACAAGCTTATTTTATTTTATTGTATTTTATTATATTCTTTTGTTTATTTATTTATTTACTTATTTTAACAAAATCTGTAATTTTCTTATGCTACTTGAATGTAGTAAAACACCAACAGATGTAGCAGATGTAAGCACTGGCCATAATTCTTACCTTGAACCCTGGATTCATATAAAAATAAAATAATGTATTCAGAATCATTCATACATGAGAAAATCAGCTGAGAATTGAACAAATAGTTGTAATCTGGCTCAAAGGAGTCATCTCTATATGGTAGTTTTTCTGGCGATTAAGGGATGATACAAGTGTGAAACAGGCACTATTTTTGAAATCAGCACCGCAAAATTAGTAAGAAACAAGTATATGATTTCATACAGCAAATATGACGCTGGGTTGTGTTGTCAAAAACCTGAAGTTTTTCAAAGATGTATGTGATAGCCACATACATACACTTTTTATATAATTATTTTTTGCCCAGATTATAATTATTTGCTTATCTCTTTAAAATTACAGGTAGACCTAAATACTTTGAAATGGCCAAAATGACAACTTTCCTTATCCATGTTTTGAACTTGAATGAAACCAACTAAATTCCATTAAGCCATATGATTTCTGTGTGATGCATCTGGGGTGGTAGCTGGTCAATGTTTGATACAAACTGCAAAATATCTTCGGTTTCTATCGCCACTATCTCCATCCCAGCAAAAGCAACATAAATTAGGGCATTTGCCAAGGTTAACCTGTATAACATGCTATCAGTTGATGTCCCCGTAAATTTACTTTGGTCTTGCATTAAGGGAAATGGTTTACGATTTCAGCCACCTGGCACGGTAAAATCAAGCACCCTGTAGCATGTGTCGAGGGACAGGCCTTATCATTATAGAGAGGTGTGTGAAGGGGAAATATACTCAGCAGAGACAGATGATCAGGGGATCGATAGGAGCGGCGGCTGGTTGAAAGATGCAGCATCATTATTAGGAAAAAAAAAATCCAATGGCCACTTTGCATCAAAGTCACATCCGTTATTAGACCGTGAAGCAGTAATTGAAGAGCATGATGACTGAAGAAATGAAAGCAATTTTACTGACAGGATGCAATCTCACCACCTTCTCCTGGTACAATCTTTAATGGGATGTGACCACTCAGGGAAGTGCAAGCTGCTGTTTAGGGGGCTGTGTGTCACTTCAAGACCTGTGCTGGTCTGTGATCAAACAAATTAAGTGGACACTACACCCAGAAGTAATCATTGATGTCGCTCACCCTGGACAGGTAAAGATTAATGTTGACTGCAGTGATGACCTATGCAAGCAATCTTTGAATGTCAAATACGCTTCTCACTGCTCAGGGTAGGATGTCATTTATACACAGCTGGCCTCACTACAAAGAGCAAATATCTTCTTGGAGGCTCACTGTGACCTAAATTACAGTAGTATTTGTTTCTGGTTTATGGAGTAGGAATGTCCTGTTGAAAAATATTTGTACTTGTACTCGTTAAGTGTACATATGAAAGAATTTATGCATGCAGTAGATAGTTACTCCGTTCTAAAACCTAGTGTGCTGCCTACAGAGACAGCATTTTAAGGAACAAGTTATAGGTGTACAAATGCATTGCTGCATAATATATATTGTTCACAAGTTTGGGGTTGGTAAGGGTTTAATGTTTAAGTGTTCTGCATTTATTTGGTCAAAAATAAGTTAAAAACCGTAATATTGTGAAATATTATTATCATTTAAAATAACTGTTTTACATTTTAATATATTTTTAAAATGCAATTTACTCCTGAGATGGCAATTTTCAGCAGTCATTACTTCAGTCTTCAGTGTCACATGATCCTTCAGAAATCATTCTGATATTCTAATTTGGTGTTTGAGAAGCATTTCTTATTATTAGCAGGGCTGTGTTGTTTATTTATTTTTTTCATTTTTTATTAAGTTTGTATTTATATATTTATTTATTTATTTTCCTGTGGAAAAACACAATACTTTCAGGATTTATTTACTAAAATTAAAATGACTAAAAATACTCTGTTGATTTTGGTCACACAAATAAGTGTTATATATCATTCAAAACTGTTAATTGTCTACTTTTATTTGTGTAAACTCACAGTAACAACTAAACTGTGTGCTTTTGTAAAATAAAGAAAACATTCAGGGTGCGTTCTCAGTCTTCTCTGTCTCCGCAAATATCTATCTGAAACGCATCACTAACATGAACTGAAGCGCAATAATATAATAATAAAATATTTCCATTAAAATACTATAGTTACTACAATTATTATTAATATTGTAAAATCTTAATAACTTGTTGGAATGTCCATCAACAGTAAAAAAAAAAAAAAAAAAAGACAAAGAATAAAAAAGCTTTTAAAATCTTTGTCATTTTATTTTTAAGGTGCTAATCCAAAGTGACTACAGTTTTTATTGTAGCAATCACATTGCAGTATGCGGTATTTTGGCTGCAACTGTGATTAAAGTGATTTTGTTGATTAATTTCTTTCATCCCTTTCATTCAATGCCATACGATTCATCCAATCCCTCTGTACTTTAACAAATACAAATATGTGTTTCATTTTATGGTCGCACAGCTACGACTGTCTCCGACTCTCCTGTATTCCTGCAGCAGACAGATATGGTCTAGGCTCAGAGCCAAGGACAATCTCTGAGGCCCTTTGTGGCACACTCAGCCTTACAGAGCGGAAACAACACGAGGGGCTTGCTAGCTGCAGCGCCGCTGTGGGAATAGATGCACTCTGATGGCTTTGTGAATGAAGAGTCCTTGTCTTCAGCCAGGGCATGTAGCCAGGCTGCCCTGAGCTCTGCCTCATTGACTCACACTGGGAGGGGAACATGCATAATGTTCAAGTCATGTCTCTTTACTTTTCTCGCTCACTCGCTCCAACCACCTCCCTTGCTCACCCGTACACTGAAGCGTAGCATAGTTTTGGCACTGAAAAAAGCACAGCACTCCACCGGATTTTATGCATGTGTTATAAAAGGGACAAACAAATGATAATGGCATGTGCTTCCACTGGCAGTCAGACCTGCTGGTTCTGTGACTTTGGGAAATGAATAATTCATCTGTTTTTCCAGGTGGCAAGCTGTGGTGGGCCGATGAGGATCTGGCTCAACTGGGAACGGTCGCCAAACGGGATGGACGTAACCCGGCAGTGCTACGCAATAAGACCAGTGGAGTGGTACACATGAAGGTGTACGACAGAGATGGTCAGAAAGGTTTGTTGTGATACAGTCAAGGTTGCTTGAAAAAGAAGACTGAAGTTTAACATCTTTTTAGAGCTGTGGGATTTCTTTCCAATGTTGACATGTTTTCCAAAAGAACAGGAAGCTATATCAGGAAGGACAAACATAAAATATGCCAAAAAAAAAAAAAACTTGTAATTGCAAAATGTCTTTCTTCTGATGTACTACATTAAATAAAACTCAAATTAAAAATGAATAAAGAAAAAAAACTATATAGACATACTAAAAAACACACACAACAAAATTACTCAAACTATAACTTGAATTTCAATAACATTAAATTAAAAAAATGAAAAAATACAAAAATAAACACTAATTTAAAATAAACACTATAAAATATAAAAAAATATATACAATCTCAATGATACTAAAATAACACTGTCATGTACCATGATTTAGCTACTTGATAGTATTGTACATTTTTATTCTCAAGAGCGTTTGATATATAATTTTGCTCAGTTTTCCTTGTTTAGGACTACACAAGCAAATAAATGAGCTTTAAAGTTAATAGGCATGGACTAAAAGCCACAAATCTGATTTTGATTTTGTAGAGTCTTAAAGTAGCTTATAAAAATAAATGTGCTAAAATAAACAAGACCATAAATTTTAAGCATTATACTGTGTTGTTTAATTTACTTGTAAATTGCTAGCTCTAAGTCAACTCTTTTCTGTTTTGTATCTTCATTTTTTTTCTTTGCATAATATCACAGGCTAATCTTCCGTGAGTGTAAGCAAATATATATTCAGATATTGGTTTTCCATTTTGTGAGTTATTCTGCAAATAATTCACACTAATGGCAGATCCATTAACGGCATTGCTGTAGATCCCACTAAACTGTCGACTTGAATAAGGAATGACCATTAAACGGGCTCAAATGTAAATCTATCCAGCCACCAAATTTCTCCAACAGCAATTAGCCTCTCTATTCATAATGTGGAGCTGTCTTATTACTGTCGTAGATGTGCAAGCTGAGCTTTCCCTGAGAGCTTGTGCTAATACAGTGGTGCAGTTTCCCTCCCCTTCACTTTCAGTTATACAATTAAGACGAGAGTTAGACTTCCAGGAAGAATGTCAAGTCATCTTGACTTGACAGCAACACTAAAACCTTTCATCAAATGAGGAGAGATATTCCAAATTTACGACCATTCCATTGTGGCCGAACCTGTTAATGAATTGCTTTCAAATAAAAGCGTAAATGACATCTCAGAAACTGTCTCAAATTAGTCCACTGCTTCAGCTTTGCTTGTATAGCTCATAAGCAGGCTTGTATAGAATCTGCAAACATTTTTAGAATTGTAAGTGCTAATTTGGGGGGGAAATCTGCAGAATGTTGTGGAATGGATTTAAACATAATGAAATAAGTTAAACAGAACTCAGAATGCATTTGCTGATAGCTGAAAGCATAATCCAATTAGACAAAATGCAAACACTCAAGAGACAGTAGATGTGAACTGTAAGAACTTTAAGTATTTGATATAGAGGAATATATATACCAAAAAGAAATAGATAGATTACATAAACTGAAAATGTGTTTCAATTTAATCAATTCCATTGCAGTTTTGTTTACTGAGTTTCATTTTTTACTTCAATTTAATGTTAACATATCAAATTTTATATTATGGTTTCATTCTTGTTTTTAATGATATTGCAGTCCCCCGCCCCCACCCCTATTGACAGTCCTAGTTTTTATCAATAGTAATTGGAGTTTTGTTAGGCAATATTCTCTGTAAATCTGCTTTGGATTGAAATTGGAGTAGCTATATTCACAATAAATAAATTCAGCTTTGGCGTCACAAGAAGAAATTACATTTTAAAATGTATTGAAATGCATTTAAAAATATATTCTATAATTATTTTACATTGTAATACTATTACTGTATTTTTTTATCAAATGAATGCAGTCTTGGTGAGCATAAGAGACTTCTTTAAAAAAAAAAATAAATAAATAAAAAATAAAGAAAGACATTTCCAATCCCAAACATGAAAGGTGGTGTACACATTAACATTGAGAATAAAATAAGCATCAGTCTCAACTTAATTATTTGAGATATTTTAATAATTTGCTTTGGCTTTAGTATAAGGACTATATATACTTAGTTTAATTTTAGAAGCCTTCATATTTTCTCATACGGTATAAATGGGTCAAACAATGGGATGCTAGAGGGGTTCAGGAAATGTGTGAAAACAGTCATTATTTTTGTAGTTTAATTTGGCTGCACTAGTAAATCTGAAATGACATTGTAACGGGGCTGACGAGACGTGAGACGTGCGGATCCATATGCAAAGCTTTATTTGGAGAAGACAGGGACATGGTCATAAGACAGGCAGGGTAAACAGTGGCAACCAGGAATATGGAGGGCAAGACACAAGAATAATCCTAGGGCTAGCGTGGGTCACAGGGGCAAGGCTAAAGGGAGAAGTCCAGAAAAACAGGCGAAGATCAAAACCGAAGGAGACAGACAAGGCAAGGCAAAACTAAGCTAAGGTCGAAACCGAAGGAAACAGACAAGGCAAGGTAAAACTAGGCTAAGGCTAAGGCCGAAACCGAAGGAAACAGACAAGGCAAGGCAAAACTAGGCTAAGACTAAGGCCGAAACCGAAGGAAACAGGCAAGGCAAGGCAAGGCAAGGCAAGGCAAGGCAAGGCAAGGCAAGGCAAGGCAAGGCAAGGCAAGGCAAGGCAAGGCAAGGCAAGGCAAGGCAAGGCAAGGCAAGGCAAGGCAAGGCAAGGCAAGGCAAGGCAAGGCAAGGCAAGGCAAGGCAAGGCAAGGCAAGGCAAGGCAAGGCAAGGCAAGGCAAGGCAAGGCAAGGCAAGGCAAGGCAAGGCAAGGCAAGGCAAGGCAAGGCAAGGCAAGGCAAGGCAAGGCAAGGCAAGGCAAGGCAAGGCAAGGCAAGGCAAGGCAAGGCAAGGCAAGGCAAGGCAAGGCCTCTGTAGAGTAGCTATCGCTAGGAGAGTGATAATCGCTAGACAATACTCGGCAGAGGGAAGGAAACAGAGTGAGTGTTAAATAGTGAGGGAGTGATATGAAACAGCTGGGTGCAATCAGTGTAAACAGCTGTGTGCAATCCGTGCTGAGTGCAATCAGTGCAATGAATGATGGGATATGTAGTCCTGAGAGATGTGCAACAGTGTGTAGTGCGAGAGTCAATGAAATTGGAAGTTCATGGCCCGGATTCGTGACAGACATACTCTACATATGTTTTCAGAACTGTTTGGAATATTATATTGCAGCAATGTAAGAATTAGAGATGGAGAAGTCCAAAAGCTACAGTCAGCAGTTTTTCCTCAAGACTGATTTTTCATTCATCATCATGTTTTCTCCTCTCATTGTGGTCTCTCTCAGGTAGGAATGCCTGTCAGTTGAATAACGGTGGTTGCTCGCAGCTCTGTCTGCCCACATCTGAAAACACACGCACATGTGCCTGCACCATTGGCTACAACCTGCGCAGTGACCGTCTCTCCTGTGAAGGTAGGCTGCTGTCATGGCCTGTGTCCTTATGTTTTACAGGGATGTCACATTTTTTCTTCACTTCTAACAGGCCCGTTCACATCAAGAACGATAACTATATTAGTTACATTAGTTATTAGTCTGTTTATTCTAAGCACACGCTTGTCTGCCGCTTTCAATTCTCAAGCTCATGTAAGCAGGATTGATTCTGACAATGTGTCAATGTTTTTATCATTCATCAGCTGGAAAAAAAAAAGTTCTGAAAGTGATTCCAACGACATCTTTTCTCTGTGCCTTTATCGTTATAGCTGTGGTGTGGACTCTGCTATTATTTAATACTGAGAACTATTTTTAGAACTATATCTTTATCGTTATCTTTATAGTTAGTGTCCTTGGTGTGAGCAGGCCTTAATTCATGTTGTCTTTCGTTTATCTACTTGTTTTGTGCCCAAAGAAAACTGTATGAGGTTTGTTTGACCTCCATCTAACATCTTTCGCTTGCTGTTGTTTATCACAGGCCTGAGTTATTTTCTGATGTACTCTTTTCATGAGGGGATACGTGGAATCTCTTTGGATCCCAGTGACCACGCCGAGACCCTGATGCCCATCAGCGGCACCTTGTTTGCTGTTGGCGTGGACTTTCATGCAGGTACAAACATGGCACTTCCCGTGACTCAATCCTGCTATCTTCCACTCTCTTCACTAGTGTATAGAACTACTCTCTGAATCCTCTCTGTGTGCACAACAAAGATAAGGCATGTATTGCTTTCTCTGCATTATTTTTTTAAATGTTGTTTGCTGTACAGTCTCATATTAGCTACACAGTCTCTTACCAGCTCAGAAGGGACTTAACAACACTGCATATCGCATGTAGAAGAGATAAACAGCTAAGATGAGTTAAACAAGTAGGCACAAACAGTAACTCAGATAAATGTTCTCCTTATATCTCTTATTGCTACAACCATAAAAGACAGAAGGCAGTATAGTAGATAATCTAGCAAATGGAAGTAGAGCCGACATCACCACGTTGATGGCATTGAGGGGTTGTTGTCATACTATGCATTATTCATTCTGTGAATTAGGTTAATTTGACTGCGGTCTGATGCAAGATTATTCAGCCTGTTTCAGGGGAGCATTTTGTGGTGACAAGTGGCATAAATGAAGTGAGCGTCAAGGGGGCAGTCCACATGTGATGGTACCAAATTAGCATTATAACAATCAATAATATGAGACATTTCCATAAACATGCAAACACATATGCATGCAGTAGTACAGACCTACTGTAGTATTATTGTGTTAAATTAGATAATAGCTAAAAAAAGTTATAAATCTATATTAATTTACAATAATACAATTATTATTGCATTCAATTTACAATATTCAAATTATTATTGCATTGTGTAACTATTTGCTATTTATTTTGTCATGTTAAAGTTATATTTTTTTTTGCCATGATTTTATGTATTTAGTTAGTTATTTAAATTAGCAATATGGTAACATAAAATAGCACTACTACTATGTTTCATAATAATAATAATAATAATAATAATAATAATGGGTCCTTAAAAATAAGGGCTGTAATTCAATGAAAAAAAGTCTTATTATATTTTACAATAGATTTTAATATTATAATATTGTGTACCATGTTCATTAATACTAATAATATTAATAATAATAATTATTATTATATACAGTAGTAGGTGCTGTTGTCAATAAATAATGAATTTAACAAGAAAACCACTACTTTGTAATATAGCCTACTTCATCCTTTGTATCTGCTTAAACTGAAAGGAGGTTTATATATATTCAAACTAATAAAATAATATTCAACTGGCGACTTTAACTCATTAGCTAAACAGGTCGTTTGTCACATGCTGTGTGGGTTGGGAAACATGGCAGAATTGCTGACCTCAGCAGCAGGGCAATAGCGGCAGATGGTCAGAGAGTATCAATGCAAATGCTCTCGCCTACCACCAGAATCCGCTCATCTCAGGTGAAGAAAACCCCAGTCCAGCTCAGCCTATTACAGCTGATTACACATGCATAACATTTGCATGTTATTTAGAGGCAGCTTGTTGGAGCATGAAACAGATGAGGGCCTTCCAGCTGGCTGCTGTCACATGTAAGAGATCCGTTAGCTGAGTGTGAATTCAGTAATAACAGGAGGATGCAAATAAATAACTGCTCTCGTCACACTCAGTTGTTGGGCAAAAACACCACTTACATTTAGAGCATGCTTCTGTCAAAACAATAAATTAGTCATTGCTAATCTTGTTTGATTTGTTTGCTACACAATGTTTGTATGTCACTTTAGCACTTTGAATGAAATTCCATTACAAAATGCTTGTTGGTTTCTTTAGTTATTGTTACTACTAAACAGCATTAGAAATTAATATGGGGTCCCTTACGAACAATATTAGAAGTGTCCAGAATATTTCTGCTTCATTTCTTTCTGTTTTTGACATAAAGGGTATGAGATGCTTTCTCATACACTATTTATGTTGCAAGTTTTATTCTTCATGAAATATGTCCTCCTTCATACAGGCAATGATACAGTTTACTGGACAGACATGGGATTAAACCGGATCTCAAGAGCCAAGAGGGATCAAACATGGAGGGAAGACATTGTCACTACTGGCATCAACAGAGTGGAGGGCATCGCAGTCGATTGGATTGCTGGTAAGACACAAACATTATTTTAACAATAGAATGCTGCCATTTTTTACCATTGTCACAAGGAATCCAAATAAAATCTTTGCATTTCTAGCCTTTAGATATAATACTATTAAAATGTTTGAGGTCAGTACAATTCTTTTTTTTAATGTTTTTGAAAGTGTCTTGCTCACCAAGGTTGCATATATTTGGTCAATAAATACAATATAATACAATACAATTTAAAAACTTTAAAAACTGTAATATTGTGAAATATTATTGCAATTTGGAAACATCTTTATTTATTTATTTATTTATATATAAATACATTTATTCATTTTATTTATTTATTTTCCAGGTAACCTTTACTGGACAGACCATGGCCTCAACCTGATTGAAATTGCTCGTCTGAATGGTCTCTACCGTTCAGTTGTAATATCAGAAGGGCTGGACCAGCCAAGAGCCATTGCAGTGCATCCACAGAGAGGGTACGTCAGATGCTTCTGAGACAACGGATCAGTTTCAGCCATGTCTACTGTTCAGTAATATAAATTTTTAGAAGCATTTTAGAAATTACTGAGTGAATTTTAGGGAACTATGCAAGTGCATTAGACCAGATAATACAATGAGCTCTTGGAAGAGAAATGAAAATGCATTTTAAACCTTTGAAGGTCAAATAAATTTTGTGATCTGACTCCACTAATGAATCAAATTAAGAATTTAAAACCAGATATGCATATCCATTTAGGCATAGGTCCATTTTGGAGTCCATTATGGTATTGTTTCAGTAATTAGGGTCAAACTTTATGGTTTACTTTCTTGCCAGATTTGTCTGTGTTTGCCTTGAATTTGATGTTTACAACCTTCAATCAGAATCACAAAGTGAAAAGATATATGAGCGCTTTAACCCATCTACCATCAATCTGCTGACAGCAGACAGCATCAGGAGTGGGATCCTCTTAAAAAAAACAGCCTCCTATTCAAGCCTAAGGCTATGAAATATGTCTTTTCATTTTTCCAGTTGAGTCAAACTTTGAATGATGGTTCCTTGGTGGAATAACAACAGTTATACACTTTAAAGGAATAGTTCATCCAAAAATAAAAACTCTGACATCTTTTACTCACCATCATGTCATTCCAAAGCCATACAACTTACTTCTGCAGAGCACAAAAGTAGAAGTTCTGTCCTGGTGGCTCTTTTCCTTGTAATTTTATAGTGAATGGATAAAGCTTTCAAACTTAAAAAAGGATGCAAACAGTATCACAAAAGTGGTTCATATGACTTAATTAATGTCTACAACCCATTCATTGTGAACCATATCAGTCAGATAAGAATCAAATGATTCATTGAAAATATGTTCAAAGGCATGGTTCATTAATGAACATGCAAGGTGCTCTAGGTACAATGTCAAGATATATTCAGTAATAAACGACTGTTTCTAAAAAAAAAAATAATAATAAATTTATCAGATGATTCAGATGAGCCATATGGACAACTTTGTGTGATGCTTTTATTTTCATTTTTAAGCTTGATGTCTTCACTTTTTTTGTTATAAGTAAGAAGGTAAGAAAGCTGTATGGGTATGGAATGACATTAGGTTGAATAAACAATGCCATAATTTTTGATCAATGCCTTTAAGGTCACTATGAATTATAGAATACAGATTTATAAGTTTTAAAAATCAAATAAAAAATTTCATTGAAAAGATTCAGTTCAAAAGAATGATTTGTTCACAATGATTCATACTGTACTTCTCTAATGAACATGCCAAGGAGCTCTAGGGCTAATGTCAAAATATATTTAATGATGATGAGTCGTATGGACCAATTATGATACTTTTCCCTCCTTTTTGAAGCTTGGAGTCTTCAAGTTTTTGTTTTCTGCTTAAAGCTGCAGTCCGTAAATTTTGCCTCTTTGTCGCCATCTCTGTTTGAAAACCTGGAATTGCAGCTGTGTGCAGAATTATCTAGCTTGCGTGGGTTGTGAGTCGGTTTGGCTCCAGCGCGGATTAATCTAATTATTTGAAGAGTATGTGTGGCAGTCAGTCACCACACCGGTGTGGATATTTACTGTACTTCGCAATCACAGATTCTAGCCTACGTCTTGGAATATATGACTCAAATAAGCATTTTCACCAGATATTGCCATCTGAACAAGTAAGTAACAAGTCTGCCACGTTTGTTCTGACCAACTGAGGAAAAAAGCATTACCATAAATCTCATTACCAATGGTGATTAAATCTAAAGTTTGGTTAGCTCATATCACATCAAACCGTGCAAATTATTATTATTGTTATTCTTTATTCTCAAATGTTTCATGTTAACAACATCAGCATTGGTGACTATGAGTATAGTGTGTATTAGTGTGTAGATTAAAATTTCTGCACAGTCTAATCTAATTGTCATACTCTAAGAAATTATTTTAACCCAAAAAGCTAATTATGCTCCCTTCGAAATGTTTTTTTCTTTAAAATACAAATCTTTGTAATCCCAGGCTATCTGTAATCAGAAGCACATTTATAACTGGAATATAATTTAATTTCATTCACATGTGTTTCATAAACACATAATCCTTTATGGATTAAAATCCACCATCAAAATTATACATTTAATTATTCTGGCTGCTGTGAGAAAAGGCTATAAACGATTGGCCACCTGCAGGATCCTCACATGCAATAGCCTAGTAGCCGGGACAACTTCTTTATGTTTACAGACGTGACGTAATGACGCAGTGCCATGCTCGAATTTCACGCGAAAACCTACCCGTACCACTCAAATTAGAAAACATTATTATAAGATAACCATTGTGAATTGGGCTAAAGTAAGGCGATAGTTTTGAACACTGGCTGGTTATGTACTTGCTTAAATATTGATTTCGGATCATTTTAACCAAAAAAAGATACGGACTGCAGCTTTAAGTAAAATAAAGAAAATCATATTTGTCTGGAATGACATTAGAGTGAACAAATGATAACAGGTTTGTGGCTTTCCTCACTATAAGTCACTATAAAATGTAGAATTTGGCATGGTTAAAGTAGTATTCCACATCTGATTTTTCCAATCAACAGTTATTTATTCTGGACTGAGTGGGGGAAGAATCCTTGCATAGGTCGTGCACGGCTGGATGGTTCAGACCAAGTGACCCTGGTCAGTTCTGGTATCGCCTGGCCGAATGGAATCACCATTGACTATGAGGTAGGGCAAATTGATTCCACTTCCTGTTACTCTGCTCACTCTCTTTTCTTCTGATGCTGATAAAATGGGGCTGCTCAAAGGGAGAGGCGCTGATGTGCATTTTCAAATTGCTTTCTAGGAAAATAGATTATACTGGTGCGACGCCCGGACCGACAAGATAGAAAGGATCAACCTTGAAACCGGGGAGGGCCGAGAGATTGTACTGTCAGCCGCCAACGTGGACCTGTTCTCCGTGGCTGTGTTCGGGGCTTACATCTACTGGTCTGACAGGTAATTTATTATTTTACTAAGTGCTACACTCTCCAAAGTGGCCCACGGAGCCAGCTGCTCTAGTCTCAATGGATTAACCCCTTCCGAGCAAGGTTATTATTGAGACCTGCCGTATGATTCTGTCGTCTCCCAGGCAGACTCCGTAGGCCTTATGTAAATAGGATGTACTGTAAGTCATCGGCAAGGTGACGTTTTCTCGGCTTTGCAGTTTTTTAATGTGTCTTGCTGCTTTTAATTAGATAACCACCATCATAACGCTGATGTCAGACTCTTTTTCTGTGCCGTCTGTGGCAGAGCCCATGGCAACGGATCGATCCGGCGTGGATTCAAAAGCGATGCCACTGATGCTGTCACGATAAGAAGTGGTCTTGGTGTCAACCTGAAGGACGTGAAAGTGTTTAACAAAGGCCGGGAGAAAGGTTGAGGTTTCAATTTAATGAGTTCATTTTTATTATGCCACATATGTATTCTTTGGACAAAACACAATTATAATGAATATCTCGGTGTTCATCTAGTGATGTTTTTCTATGCTTTGGCATGCAGGCACAAACCCGTGTGCGAGGAGCAATGGAGGTTGTCAGCAGCTGTGTTTTCACCTGGGCAGCGGAAGAAGGACGTGTTCATGTGCTCATGGGTACTTAGCCGAAGATGGCTTTGCTTGCCAAAGATATGAGGGCTATCTTCTGTACTCTGAACGGACCATCTTGAAAAGCATCCACCTGTCTGACGACAGTGATCTTAACTCCCCTCTCCAACCTTTTGAGAATCCAGACTACTTCAAAAATGTCATCGCTCTGGCATTCGATTATCGGCAGCAGGCCTCACACCACAACCGCATATTCTTCAGCGACATCCATTTTGGGAATATTCAGATGATCAATGATGATTGGTCTGGAAGACAGATCATAGTTGAAAGTAAGTCTGGTTGGTTTTTTTAGTGCTTTCATGCATAAATGGGTTTCAAGGGGCATTTGGAAAATCCTACTAATTGCTAGCCTTTTGTTGGTCATGAAAGATGTCCAAAGATGCTTCTTCCACAAAAGTGGGCATTTGTTTTTGGTCCTGTCGTCGTCCTGATGCAGACTCATTGCAGTGACCCACATATTGTTTAATGTTCTGCCGCTAGAACCATTCCAGCTTCTTAGCAGCCATTTGTGAAAGGCCATTTGTTGGGAACGGTAAGTGGCATTGCCTGTGATGTACAGCAAGGCCTCGATGCATCCAACATCTATTAAAAGTGTTATAATAGCTACCTCAATTTTTCTGCAACTAAATGGGACCAATTTAACTGTCAAAAAAGATGTTTAAAACACTGCATCTTTTTCTGTGTCCTCACTCTTGATGGATTAAAATCACGTGTCTCATTTCCACCGTCCTCAAACTGTAACAGAAATATGAATGGAAGCAGGGTGATATTTTTCAAGATCCTGCCTGTCACTGTTGTTGGAAAGTTCAGAATATGGTTATTGATTTCCTCATGTACGCTATATACGGCAGACATTTCAGCCGCGATCGATATTCACATCTGATAGTGGCCCACAATGGAAACCTAATATGCCTAATTGACTGTGTATTATCCATTTACAGTGTAATGAGACAACTATGACAGATTTTATTATCAAACAACTCATGTACTGCTTATAATAACTGCACATACTGTAGTGTGTGTTTACAGATGGACTTTCAATTGTTTACAACGTAATTTTAGATTCAGAACTCATACTGACACAATTAGGTTCAAATGGCAGGTAATAAGACGTAGCAATAATGTACATGTACACCAGAAATTCTTGAATAAGATGGACTATCCTTTAAATCGAAAAACCATTTCTGTGTCCTAGGTAAACGGGGAAAGAAATCCCTTAATACCTTTTCGGTACTTAGTAACCCAGCTCATTTCACTTTGCTGGGGTTAATGCGATGAAGCAGATATACTTAGAAAGCTTCTGTGCTCCATGATTGGTGCTTCTATCCACTTACAGTACTCTCTGAATTCTGTTTTAACTAGCCTCATTGCTCCTTAAGGAATTAGACCTTTTTTTTTTTTTTTTTCTTCAAATTTCACTTCTACTTGATTAGCCTTTTTTTAGGCTACACTTTGTGATCGTGTAAATGGTTTTGTTCTGATTCATCCTTGCCTTTGTTTAGCATATGTAACAAAATATAATTTACATCAGTTAGGATCACTGTTTTTTTTTTGGTTTGTTTTTTCTCTCAAGTGTACAGTATACTGGGAAAAACATGAAAATTACACACACACACAAAAAGCTGTGGTTGCCGGAACTGAAACTGCCATAACTGAAAAAACATAGTTACTTAATCGAAAAACCATCAAATGTGACCTGTCACACAGGGAATTCTGGGAATGTCAGTTTACAGTATTTTAATGTAAATGCACACTAAATGTAAGTTAAGGTTAGATCTATTACAGTTATTCACTGTATACAGTAAGGAAACATACTGTTAACCAGTTAACAGGTTTTTGCAGTAACGTTTTTTTTCAGCCTAAAACTCAGATTAGATATTTTGATGCGTATCCAGCCTGTTAATGTTCACTTTTTGAAGGAGAAGTGCATTTCACCATTCACATGTACTTTTTATACCCATGCCACACTGTAACATTCACAGATATCCTCCACCTCTATCCATTTGACCATAAGTACCCCAGCCAGAGAGAGTGAGAGTGTAATGTTGACTACAGGTTGAAATGAGCTGGCTCTTTTGATGGCGTCTCCACATTCGAGTTCACTCACTTTCCCAGAGATGAAAGCCAATCCCAGCCACCTTGACTACATGCACACTTAGAAACGCATACAAACACCCTCTCCATTCTGTCACCAGGAGAGGGTGAGGACGTTAATCTGTATTTCCCTAATTAAGTCATACATCCCCTGTTAATTACTCCCTGGCCTCTCTAACAGTTTCTACAAAGGCAAGCTGTCAGGCACTTTTTATTGTGAATGATTAATTAGTGATGGATTTCTGCAGACTATATTCTCTAAGATCTTTCAAATAGTAGCATTTTTAGCTACATTTTTAGCTTTAGTTTAAACAATTGCTATTTCACTGATGAATTTTTAGACATGATAGCAGACAAAGCCTAACTGTTTTATAATGCTTAGTGAGATGTCGCTTTGATTGATTATGGTTTTCTGAATGCACACACTCACTGTGTTATTCACAATGTATTTAAATATAGTAAAAAAAAAGATAATTTATAACATTTATCTATCTAAAAAAAAATAAACACCTAAGCTGTTAATACTACAGGTGAAAGCATTAACACACAGAGGTCTGTTCATTTCCAAACTGCAATATCAATGAAAACACACTATTTAATCACCTTTCCATGCGACTGGATTCAGTATGTCTTAGCATGGTCAAACTGTAGCTTGTTGTTTTCTGTAGGTGTGGGTTCGGTTGAGGGCTTGGCTTATCACCGTGCCTGGGACACGATTTACTGGACTAGTTCCACCACCTCAAGCATCAGCAGATACACAGTAGACCAGAGCCGACAAGCAGCTTTTACCAGGCAAGCCGTTGTCACCATGTCTGAGGATGACCATCCCCACATCTTGGCCCTGGATGAATGTCAAAAGTAAGGGAATTTTTTTGCTCATTTGGGTATCTGATATTGTCGGTCTGTAAAGAATACTGTCCAAAAAAATGCCATCGAGAGCGTTTTTAGCAATAATCAAGGGCAATACTTTTGTACAGAAAGATATCATTTCACATGAGAGTTTGAGTTTGTTGTCATGTGCATTGACATGCTTATTTGCACTTCAGAACATTCAAAATGCCCAGTCATCGGTCATGTGACATGCAAAAACCAATTACATTTGGTGTGACGCGTATAAAACGTGCCATTTTTCTGCTCCAACAGAGGGAAAGATTTCATTTGCTATAGACTAAACAAAATGAACACATTCACTTTGTCAACGCATAGTGTGAAACAAAATTGATTTTTATTGTCAGGAGGAAGCATATTAACTTTTAAAATCAAGAGCAAATTGATTTGTCACACACAGGAAAACTAAAATATATGGAATGTCAATCAGTCAAGAAGGAAAACATTTTAATTAGTTTGACCTCATCAGATGAGCAGGGCGCCATGTGAAATTTGTTGTGGATGGGATATTTTTATTCCTGATCCAGCAGAGTGGCAACTCTCCAGACATAGTGGATGGTATATGCACTTAAATATCCACTCTAAAAGAACCATTTGAGACTGATGAACAGCATTGATATTCAGAAAGATGTGCTGACCCTGAGTTCACCGACTACATTAAACCCTCAACCTTGGAGAGAATATGCTTACTTGGTAATCTGGCACTTTTTCAAATGGACTACCGACTGCTGTTAATTAGAATCTAACCTGAAATGATTAATTGGCATAGAAAGTCAGCATGTATCACTAATTTTCAATTAGACCGTGGAATTAGACTGTGAAAGGAACTTGTAAGAGAAACGTCAAATAGGCCCTGAGTACTTTCTGTCCACTATTATTTGTGCAGTCAGTGATATTCCCATGCGTCATAGAGTCGGTTTAAAAATACCGGCAGACGACAGTATTGAATCGTCTTGCTAGTGCTGTCTGTAAAATCGCTTCTATTGCTCTAATTTTTTGTCCTGTGTACTTTGTAGCCTCATGTTTTGGACCAATTGGAATGAGCAGCACCCCAGTATCATGCGCTCCACTCTTGCAGGAAATAACATGAAAGTCATCATTAGCACAGATGTATTCACTCCTAACGGACTCACAATTGACCATAAAGCGGAAAAGCTGTATTTCTCTGATGGCAGCTTGGGCAAAATTGAACGCTGTGAATATGATGGCTCCCACAGACATGTGAGTATGACTCTTTCTCTGTTTCATGGTGTTTCACAGAACATTTTTTTCAATTAAAATTGCTTTACAGCATTTATTAATCTAGGTTGATGCTAATTTCTAAACGTAGTCTTTTATCATTTATAAAATATGTAATATTTTATCAATTTTATAAATTAAACTAAATGAATTAATGCTTTAAAAAAATTGTTCCAACGTTAGTTGTAGGGCTGTGCAGCGGAGCCAATATTTGTAACTGTAACAAGCTGTAACAATGGAAGTGGATGGGGCTTTATCCAGAAGTGCGTACAATTAAACTGAAAACCGTCATGTCTGTGGTTTTACAGCCTATCTTTTTTCTTTGTAGTTATAACTTAACAAATATGTCTTTTATAACTGATAAAATAATATTTTTCATTATGATTAGAACATTTGAGCCAATAGCCTCATTTAGACCGTGCTTTTAGGTGTAATGCAGTTGTGCTTCGGGAGACCTGAGTTCAAGTCCCAGCTCGGGGACCTTTCGTGATTAACAAGTTCTTATTAAAATAATAAATAATTAAAATAATAAGTAATAATAAATGCTAATAAAAGTAAAATAGGAGGAATATATAACTCTGTGTACTGAGTAATGTCAGGACAACCACAACCTCAAATAAGAGGAGGCTGACTGTATAAATAGCTGATTAGAGAACATGGAGGTTGAAAGAAATAAAAAATAAAAATCTTTTACTATGCGTACAAATGCAAATCTGAACAAATTATAAAGAATATACCTGTATAAACGCCGTCTCTGAGAGAGAGTGAGGCAGATACATTTGTAGCCTATCATACAAAGTTTAAAACATTTAAATGGACATACCAAGCAGTAGAAAATGTATATGTATCTTAGTTGATTATTAGGCTGGAGCTGGTTGGGTTTCTGAGAAACGTGCAGAGATGGAATGTGTCTGTTTGATTTGCGATCTTGCTGTGCATCCTGTGCTTCATGCATTCATTTAAATATACATATCAAATAGTAGAACATGTGTATGATGTAGTAGTTTAGTTGATTTAATCTTGCCAAGCTCTGATTTCTGGGAGACACACGGACAGGCCACAGCAACGCGGCTATTTGATTTGTGCTCATTTCATTCATGTTTACACTCATTCATTTTACACACTCATTATTGTGTAGTGATTTTAGAGATTATGTATAATATCATGCTTTCCCCTGGATCACCTGTTATCCAGCAAACACATGGAGTGTCTGTGTCAGTCACAGCCGAATATTATTTGACATAATTATTCGTTATTCGTTTTAAAGTCATTATCCGTGCCATTCCGAATAAGGTATTCAGCTTCGGACACACCCCTAGTTAGTTCATTGTTAGTTCAGTGCATATCTAATGTTATCTAATGCAAGAAAGAATTAATTAAATCTTATTGAACATATATGCTCAAATTGATCACAATTAATTGCATATTATTGTTTGTTGTTAAGATGTTATTCTGTTATTGCTTTTTAAACAATGAATCTTGTTAAATGAACCCTAGAGGGTTTCCTGTTCCAGTTTCCTGTACATTTTTTTTTTTCTTTCTTCATTTGTTTCTTGTTGTTTAATAAAGTGCTTTTGATTAGTGGAAATAACAACCACCAGTTGAAGTAATTCCTACTCATTTTCTAAAACATAAACCTCAATTGGGTTTTGCAGCGGGTCACTACATCTAGACGATAATGACTTGATGACCACCCATAGATCGGGCAACCCTCTGGAGTTATTAGCATCCACTGATGCTGTGTCCATTGACCCTTCACCAGATCAGTTTAATTGTAATGAATTAACCACTTTGAAGAAACATGACAGAGTTAATTAGAGTACCTCAACCTCCCAAACTAAGCGCACTAGTGGTAATAAAAGCTTATTTTGAGACCCTTGCTGGGCCGTCCTATCAACTAGCCAATTAAACTGTGAAGAATTAAGCAAAACTAAATCAACATGGTTTTTGGCAAACTGCCTTGCAGTTGGAATCTCCCAACTGGTTTTAGCTAAAAGGTTCGTGTGGTGAAACTGAGTGGAAGCCTAACGGTACACATGGTTAGACTTTCTCTGTGGTGCCATCATTTATATCATATCCACACAAAGAGGAGTATTATTATAGATGTAAGTTTTTTGTAATGCCCATCAGAGCTGCGGGCAAATGCATGTGGCTATAGTTGTTAGCCGAAAACTCTATTTGATCAGATAAACAGAGATAATTAGTGCTGGAGCAGAACGCTTGCACCGCTATATTTAATTCTGAATCAATATGCTCCATCAAAAACCATCTGGCATGCTCCTAATCCCCCCCACCTCCCCTTCGAATATCCAGTTGTTGTTTGCTCAAGCTGGGCTCTCTTAATCAACACCTGTCCTATTTTTCCCCACCATGGTGGCAAGGCTAATGTGATCACGGCTACATACGTGTTCCTGTTAATGGTTGGGTCTCTGGAGCTGTGGGACATCCTCCCGCCCCACAGGCCGGAAACTCCCAGAAGGAGTCGTGTGATGTATATCTGTGTCCATCACCATGACACCTGCATTAACACTCATAGGATCTGGGCTAAACTGGCTGCTGGGCGATTATTTAAAGCATATGTCCTCTACCAACACATTATTTTTGGTCCCCTCAAAGAGACTTTACAGTGGTCGTCAGAGTGTGTTTTTGTCCCTTGTTTTTAATTGTAAGCTATTGGTTTGAACCTTGTGTAAGAGGACAGCCAAAAGCTATTGTTTTTACTATTTTTTTTGCAATGACTATTAATAATGGTGAATATCTTGACAACAGAATGGCTGAAAATTGAGGGGGTGCATGATATATCAGTAGTACATCACCATATTAGAAATTTATTTTAATTTATGTTTCGATTGCCTTTATGATAATCTAACACTCATTTAAAATGATGCTTTAAAAACCCTAGTTGTTTATATATATATATATATATATATATACATACATACATATATATATATATATATATGCCTTGTTGAGCATAAGAGACTTCTTCCAGAAACCTTAATAGGTAACACTTTACAATAAGGTTTATTAGTTAACTACTTTAGTTAACATGTACTAAGAATGAACAATACTTTTACATTTATTCATCTTAGTTCATATTAATTTCAACATCTACTAATGCATTATTAAAATCAAAAGTTGTGCTTGTAAACATTAGTTAATGCACTGTAAATTAACATGAACTAGCTATGAACAACTGTATTTTCCTTAATTAACATTAACAAAGATCAATACTGTAATAAATGTATTGTTCGTTGTTCATTCATGTTAGTTAATACATTAACTAATGGAACCTTATTGTAATGTGTTACCCATTAATATATACAGTACTTAAACAACACACTCACAAATATTATAATGTATATAATACATGTCAGCAGACAAATACATATCAAATATATAATCTGTAAGCAAATGCTCTGTACTTGACCCTCTGTATTTGTTGTTAGGTGATCGTAAGGTCAGGGCCTGGCACATTTTTTGGACTTGCTATCCACGGAAACTACATTTTTTGGTCTGACTGGACTCGGCGGGCTGTGCTACGGACCAACAAATTCACCGGAGGAGATACTAAAGTTCTCAGGGCTGATATTCCCCACCAGCCAATGGGAATTATAGCAGTCGCCAAAGACACTAATAATTGTAAGTATTCCAAAAAAAAAAAAAAAGATTGGGCTCTGAGAGTGGCCTCTGAAACTTTCATAAATATGTTGTGTGCATTGAATTCACATCTTTCACTGGCACTGGCATTTTTTGATTTCTAAGGAATAGTAGGAATGATTAATTAGAGTGGACTTTTTTAGTAACCAAGCAACCTAAATTGGAGACATAATTAATTTAAAAAAGCATCCTCAAGTCACAGAGGATGCTCTGAACTGTCGCAAATGTGAAAAGTAGGACGTCGGGAAATCGGTTTAAGAGACTCCCAAAGGTTTCTGTTTGTGAGCCTGCTGTGAGGGGGTTTCTCCTCTCATTTGTTTGATCATGCCATATTATTGCAGCTGTCTGCCCCGAACCATTTTTACCTAAGGAATGTTACCAGTCAGCACTGACAGAGAGAGATGTGTTCATTCGAAGACAGATGTGAGGATAACTGCTGTTGTGATCAACAATGTGATCTTCTTACAGAAATCTTTCTTTCCAATTCTTTCATCTGACACTGTGCCACGTTAACACACCACCTTTGATTTTTGAGATTCGTTTCCATATTCATGCTTAGTTACAGCACGATAAGTTAGAGATTCTGGAGGCTCTTCATAGGTATGGGTGCTTCATACAGCTCCCAGAGGGGCAATGTTCTGGATTCATAACATTTCCTGACAGTCTGGATGTTCATTTAACAGTTCTTTGATCAGTCTGATTAAATGGGCTATTCTTTCTATTTAGATTTTTTTTTCTCGTTATAAATATATATTACCTGCATAATGATTTGAGTAAAACTTGCAGAATATCTTAGTATTTGATTTGTCCTCTTTTTTCCTCTTTAATGACAGCAGTCAGGCAGCATAAACTGAAAACCTGTTCTCCAGCATGATTTGAAATCTATCCAAAGAGCATATTGTGCTTTAATGGAAATGAGAACATTTGACGTACGTACAAAGCAGGGTTATTATAGTTAACTAAAACTGAAACTAAAATGTGCACCATAAAAAAAATATTATTCAGTTTTATTTGAAATAAATGTAATAACGTTAACTGAAATAAAGTATAAAAAAAATGTCTGACTTTAAAAGGTTTCAGCTAGTTGCCAAGGCTACGTTTTTCATTTTAAATTAGCTAAATTAAATTAACTTGATGTACTAAAATAACTAAAACAAAATTGAATAAAAATGAATAAAAACTATATACACTCTAAAAAACACATGTACTGTATGAATATGATAGAATTTTCTTTATTGATTTTTACAGGTGTTTCACCTGTATTTTGAATTTTGCACTACATTTCATTATGTATTAAAGTTAATGGAAATGTCTGTAAAATTAATGCATAAAGTCCTGTCAGAAAATTACAAGTGCGTTTTACATCTATCTATCTATCTATCTATCTATCTATCTATCTATCTATCTATCTATCTATCTATCTATCTATCTATCTATCTATCTATCTATCTATCTATCTATCTATCTATCTATCTATCTATCTATCTATCTATCTGTCTGCACAACAAAATTACTAAAATTAAATGTAATAACTAAAATGAAAAAGCAAATAGAAAATATAAAAATAAAAACTGTTTAAAAATTAAACATTTAATTAAAAAAACTCAATCTCAATGAGACTAAACGAACACTGGTGGTACAAAGGAGTCACATGTTCAATGTCACGGATTTGCATATTCGATTATAGTGAGCAGAATCTGAAATATTTCTAATTAATTCAATGTTTTCTTATTCGTTTTCAGTTTTCTTGGTTTTAAATTGTTTCAAAATCCTAAAATGTTTTTATTGTCATGTTTAATACGATTTTAAATCTTACATTTCAAGTGTGGTCTCAGACTTTTGGAATACACACTTTTAATTTCCAGAGCCCAACAAAGGAAAAACAAGAGTTTTCTTCTTCCGCTTTAATTGAGATTACACTTCCGTTTTAAATTTTTAACAACTTTTTGATTTTGCTTAGGAAGTGCACTTTGTAGGAACTCCAGGGTATTCAGTGAGTAAGCCCCTGATGTACTGCATTTGTCAGTGTATTTTTTTTTAGCTCAGAGTTTTGTGGATTGCTCACTTCAAAGACTTTGGAATTACTTTTCTCTGTGTTCTTGTTTGTTTGTTGATTAATATTGTTATTTGGCCTTTTTTTATATGCTCAGAGCACTGTTGTGATGGTACACGATGTTCCTTTGTCCCTGTGTTTCAGGCGAACTATCTCCATGCAGGGTTCTGAATGGTGGCTGTGGTGACCTGTGTCTCCTTACTCCACATGGCACAGTCAACTGCAGCTGCCGAGGAGAGCGGATACTGCTCGATGACTACAGATGTGTGTGTAAGTTTTGCCACGCTTCCCTTAGACTCTCAGGGAATATGAGCCCCTCCATCTCAGAAAGATGTGAAATTACTTTGCGTCATTTATTCCAGCATTTATTTTGTATGTATGTAAACATCGCTATGGCTATTGCTTCGACCTAGGGTTAGGGATTTTAACTCTTCCTGTACCATTTATGCTACAGACATAATTGATACCTCAAAACGTGTGGTTTATTAAGAAAAGGTGAGCGGTTGGACTAATGACATGATGCTATTTTGTTTCATATATGTGAACCTGGACCACAAAACCAGTCTTAAGTGTACATTTTAAAATTGAGATTTATACAGCATCTGAAAGATGAATAAATACGCTTTTTTTGTTAGGATAGGACACTATTTGGCTGAGATACAACTATTTGAAAATCTGTACAAAATATCCTCATGGAACATGATCTTTACTTAATATCCTAATGATTTTTGGCATAAAAGAAAAATCTATCATTTTGACCCATACAATGTGTTTTTGGCTATTGCTACAGTTTACCCGTGCAACTTCAGACTGGTTTTGTGGTCCAGGGTCACATATTATTTATTCAAAAATTAATTAAAACACATTTGACTTGAATACATATTTTCTATGATGAGCATGTTTTTAATTTATGGATTAAAATGAATTTATTTTATGTTTTAATTATCTTGTAAAATGTAGTATGATTCCCTTAAAAATGTTGATGCTAATTAATTATTAATTCATGATAATTGTATAAAAATGTTTTTTTTTTACTTTGAAAAATATATTTAAACTTTTCTGGAAGTAATGATTATGATGTTGTCACTCAAGTTAAAAAGAAAATATATATTTACACTTTTGACCTGATGGTACCAAGTGGTAAAAGTATTTTCCTAAAAATGTTCAACACATTTTTCAAAACCATATGAACTATCTGACATGAATACAAGTACATTTCTAAGAACTTTATAAAATCTTTATTATAGACTGAGATTAAATGTCTTTGACCCTATTACTTTTTGAGTGATCAGATGTTTGATATTCACTCTGGTGGATATTGTTTAGTTAAATAAATACATATATTTACATTGAGTAAGAGATCAGAATAGCATAGACATTTTGGATTCTTTTAACTTGGGCCAGTTGAAAAAGAATCACACAACCACACAGAGCATTATAGCAACCACACAGAAAAAAAGCTTAAAACCATCTTAGCAATGCATTGGCACCCACCCTCAAAACCCTAGCATTTGCACCACTTATGTTTTCTCGTACCTTATGTAATCTCAACTGTGATGCCAATTTGCATCACTCCCACACACATACACACAAAAATGTATTCCTTAGCGACATAATTAATTTACTTTAGATTAAGTAGATTTTTTTAACATCATTTTTTGCTCACTTTTATAGCCAAAACGTCCTCTTGCAACATTCACACTGAGTTTGAGTGTGGAAATGGGGAATGTATAGACTACCAGCTAACATGTGATGGAATTGCCCACTGCAAAGACAAGTCAGATGAGAAAATGCAATATTGTGGTAAGTGGCCGATCACAATTCTTTGCCGTATGTACTCCCAGTTCCCACATCTTGAAAGCAGTAAGAACGCAGAATTGGTTTAAGGTGGCAGTTCCATTCCCTGAGGCTTCAACTTAATAAAATGAGCTGCTTCTCCTTACTGCTTTCAAGCAGAGGAGCAAATGGGAATAAGCTCAGAGCAACAGAAAGAGTAAATAAGAGAGAGGATGTGAAGCTTTTTTTTTTTTTTGCCCTGATTGCAATTGCTTTCCGTATCGCTAGACAACAGGACCTGCCGAAAGGGTCACCGTCCTTGCTACAACAGGCGTTGTGTGGCTAACAATCGCTTTTGTGATGGAATCGATGACTGTGGGGACAACTCAGATGAGGCATTTTGTAACAGTGAGTATCTTGTCTGCAAATATTATTATTTTGACATTTTGCATATAAATTTCACTTAAGGAAGTACATTTTTTTTTCAGTCTATAAAAGAAAATGGGCAGCAAAAATATTTTAAGCCGTTAGTGTATTTCGGACCATGTTAGACCTCGAAAATGACACCCAATTTTCAAGCTGTGAAAGCATTTCACAAGTAATTTTCCTTGGAGCGATCTGGAATACTCTGTTATCATCTGTGATAACACAATATTTACACAGCGCACAATATTTAATTCATTTAAGCACACGTCCAGGTGCCTTAGTCTCTTTGCTCTCCGTGTAAATGAAGTGTCTCTGTTCCAGATGTCACGTGTGCTGCGTCTGAGTCATCTTGTCAAGATGGAACTTGCATATCAATATCCTCCTGGTGCAACCAGGTCATCGACTGCGCCGATGCCTCGGATGAAAAGAACTGCAGTAAGGCAGCGCTGCCCATGTTGGAAAGCAGCACACGTTCTCTTTATCCTACTGTAATAATCATTGCCTTGACATATCAGACTATTATAGACGAATGTAATGCATTCCTAGATAGAACTGAGGATAAATCAATAAATTGTCATTAAAGGGACAGATCACCCAAAAATGGAAGAAAAAAATGTCATCCCAAAATCTTTATGACTTTCCTTCCTCAGTGGAACAGAAAAGGCACATTTTTAAAGAATATCCTGTCCATGCTTTCCTATATAATGAAATGGGACAAATAAAATAAAATACACCATAAAAGTATTTTAAAAGGAACTGTAACTGAGGGACTATATTCCAAGTCTTCTGATGTCATATGATATGGTAGTCATTATTTTAGTCAAGTTAATTAAGTAAATTTTTAGTCTGAATTAAGTCTTTATTCACTGAAAATCATCTCCTCTGCTATAACTTTCAAATCAAACATGGCAGCATTGACATCAATGACATTAGAGCCAATGGCATTTTGAACTTTGGAGGAGGAAAGCTTTCATATGGCTTCAGCCGACTTCAAAAAGGTTGGGATTAGTACGATTTTTTTCTTATGTTTACCAAGTCTGAAATTATTTGATCAAAAGGTCATATTATGAAATATTAATTCAATTTACTTATGCAAAACTGAATTTTCAGCAGCTATTACTACAGTCTTGCAGTATCACATGGTCCTTCAGAAGTCATCCTTCTATATTGATTTGGTGCTCAAGAAACATTTCGTATTGTTATCAATGTTGAAAACATGTGTGCTACTTAATATTGTTGTTGAAACTGGGATACAGTTTTCTTTTTCAGGATTCTTTGATGAATACAAAGTTCAAAAGAACATCATTTATTTGAAATATAAATCCTGTGTAATATTACAAATGTGTTTACTATCACTTTTGCTCTATTTAATGTACCCTTGCTGAATAGTGTAGTTGAATTTTAATGATACTTTATTACTTTAATGGTGCTTTTTTGTAATTTTGGAGAGTCAGCTCCATTCACTTTCATTAAATTGTGCAAAGATTGGCCTGGATAATATTAAGAAAATCATCTTTTGAGAGTCATATGGACAGAAGTCATATTTGGTGAACTATTGCTTTAATTTTGATTATGGATTGTGTGTGCATGAATGGTCATACAGCTTGGAATTATTTTGTGTCGTCTGTTTTGCATCTCATGTGGCGTACAGTAGATAACAAGGTCTTCCTCTTATTTTCAGATCACACAGATTGTGGAGACTTTTACAGGATGGGAGTGGCAGAAAAGGTCTTTGTCAGTTGTAACAGCACCTCACTCTGCGTTCACCATTCCTGGCTGTGCGATGGAGCCAATGACTGTGGAGATTACGCCGATGAGAGGAACTGTCAGGGTAACGCTCAATATAACTCTCCGTTTGTAAGCTTTGCAGCTTGAGGAAGCCAGGTTCCATTAAAATCAAATGAATTTTGTCGCAACACTATTTATGAAAGAGGTAATGAGGCAGAGACAGGCCCCTGTCTTTTTATCCATGCTTGAAGAGCCTGAAAAAGGTTTGGAAGGCTGATGAGTAATTATTGGTGATTGTCAGACTTGCGAAGAGCAGACATTTAAACTCTCGTGCAAACTGCAGTCCCTTCAAAATGGCTGATGAAAAGGTGACTTGAAAATGAGTCTTGGCAGATTTCAGCTTATTGCTCATAGCATGTCAGTTTCAGATAGAAAGCAAAAGTGGAATTTATCAGAGTAGACCTGTTTGAATGGAGATGTACTTTTAATGAGGCAAGTGCACTTTTACACCCATATAGTTCCATAGATAATTGCATCACATAAAGATTTAATCTGCCTGGGAGCGATTTTAGGGAGGGAATAATGACCCAAATAACCACTGGACCAAATTCTCACTACACTAAGCAAATCTTGGACTTATTTATGCTCTCCATAATCAAACACGTGTTTTCTCTGACTGCCGCAGTCTCCCACAGGCAGAAATGTGCAGAAGGCCACTTCGCCTGCCCTAGCGGGAACTGCATCTCCAGTGTGTGGCTTTGTGACGGGCAGAAGGATTGTGAAGATGGTGCAGATGAGTTCCAGTGTGGTAAGCATGACTGGTATTAGCCTCCCATTGCTTTCACTCAGCTTGATTTCTCATGTGGAGCGAGAGATTATGGCCCACATCTTGAGATGAGCTTTGAATGCAAAAACCAATTCAGCTGCTAATATTGAGGTCAAAAGAAGCATTTTCAGGTGATGAAAACCTATCTCCATGTGTGCCTGTGCCCTTGGAGGCTTACGTGCATGTATATAACTGGATCCTTCATTTTCAAGATTCCCCAAGCATTTTCAATTCACAAAATGGTTGTACGAAAATCAGATAGATAGATAGATAGATAGATAGATAGATAGATTTGGAATAAATAAATTACTTTTTTAACCACCTATGTACCTAGAATTGAAAGGATGTTTTTCTCCTTAAGATGACATAACATCTTTGCTCACCGTCAGCAGTGTGAATAGAGATAGGATATCTGCAGATACAGCAAGAGAGCATCAGGAAGTCAAGGAGAATCATGGGAATTTGAGACCAGTCTTTCCTGCTGTGACCCTTAATTTAATTCTCCATGGTGTAACCCCAGGAGTGGACCACTCTAACTCTTTTGGCAGGCGGAGTCTGTCTAGAATAGAACTGAAAGGGGTTTGAAAAAAATTGGCTTAGATATAAACTGTCATCTTTGTCATCTGCTTTCCTGCTACCGCAATTTGCACATGCATGGGCATGTTGTAGTATATAATTATGTTAATGTATAATTATATTCCATCAGATCTGTGAGCTATTTTTGATCATGAAAGAATGTTATAAAAAATATTTTAGGCTTGTCTGTTGAGGTACAGTACCAAGTTTTTGTAAGTCTGTTATGCTCACCAAGGCTGCATTTACATGTTAAAAATACAGTGATATTGCAAAATTTTACAATTTAAAGTGACTGTTCACTATTTTAATATAGTTTAAAATTTTGTTTTCTTCCTGTGATGGCAAAGCTGAATTTTCAGCTACCATTTCTCCAGTCTTCAGTGTCACATGATCCTTCAGAAATCATTCTAATATGTTTTAGTTTTTAAGAAATATTTATTTACTGAAAACACGTGAAAATAGTTGTGCTTCTTAATATATTGTGGGAACAGGTATAAAATAATTTTTTCTTTGATGAAAAGAACTTTCTAAAGAACGTCTCGGTTACGTATGGTAACCCTCGTTCCCTGAAGGAGGGAACGGAGACGTCACGTCGGTGACCGACGAATTGGGATAACGCTTCGATAGACCAATCTACTTCGAGTGTAAACCAAACGAGCCAATGCACATTGGCATGCAATTATTGCATCCAGCTGCCGCTGATCACAGCGTGAGCATAAAAAGGCAGCCGGTGCAACGCATACCAGGTTTTCGCTGAGGAGTCGAGCTGGTGACCCGGCCGCTCAGCGGTGGTACAGCAGCCGTGGCGATGGGACGTGACGTCTCCGTTCCCTCCTTCAGGGAACGAGGGTTACCATACGTAGCCGAGATGTTCCCTTTAAGTCGGTCACTCCGAGTCACGTCGGTGACCAATGAATCGGGATCCCTACCAAAGCACCATGATGCTGCCCCTTCCAGTGCACTGTGCGAGCCGCCTGCGCCCCTATCTGGTGTAGGCCGGGGCTCGGGACAAGTAGTTCCACTCACCATTTTTCAAAGCACTACCTTACTGAGTGAGATTGGATAACACTGGGAAAACGTACCCGCTCCACTTGAAACAGGGACGCTGCGGAAGCCCCATCCTTCCTGAAGGAGTTTTTGGAAGCAAATACACATATAGCATCCGCTTAGGTGTATATGGAGAACTGGAGGTGATTGTAACCCTCTTGGAAAGGCAGAAGTCTGCCGGGGAAACATGGGCTCTATGGCTATACCGTGGACTATACACATAGGAGAACTGCTTAGGTCTCAATATGGAACCCAGCCTTCCACGGTTCCCGCGGATTCATCGTGAAGGCCCGGCACCGGACGTTCTGCCGCGTCCGCTGCCGAGGGTGATGGAGGATCTCAACAGGGTCTACTGTAGGACACTCTGGAGCAGTTTTAGCAAGCCGACACTAACCGGGGCCTCTCGGTGCCACTACCCGTTTGAGGTGAGAACACAGGAGGATACCGGCTCCACACAGAGGCTATAGAATCTAGCGAACATGTTGGGGGTCGCCCAGCCCGCAGCCCTACAAATATATGTCAGCGAGGCGCCACGAGCCAGCGCCCAGGAGGATGCAACACTTCTAGTTGAGTGAGCTCGCAGCCTGAATGGGCAGGGCACACCCTGTGCCTGATAAGCCAGGGTGATAGCATCCACAATCCAGTGGGCCATCCTCTGCATGGGACGGCATTCCCCTTCTGCCAGCCTCCGTAACAGACAAAGAGCTGGTCTGAGGTCCTGAAGCTTTGTGTTCGGTCTACGTAGCACCTTAATGCTCGGATGGGACAGAGCAAAGTCAGGGCTGGGTCTGCCTCCTCCGGGGCACTTGAGACAGGTCCCAAGATGAAGGGCCCGGTTCATCCACGAAGGCCACCTCAGCGTGCTTGATGCCCAGACACGTGAGGCAGCGATCGTGACCATCACCCGGTGCCAGGAAACAACCGCACCCAGAAACGCACGGGTGAAACCGCATCCTTATAAGGACGATCCGTCGTCTTTATAAAGATGCACCCGTGGAGCTCTTTTAGAGAAATTTGCTCTTTAGGAAATGCTCTTTTAGTGCTGAGGCGCACAGGGGAGATGGCCACTTGCAACATGACAGGGGGTAGTGCAGCCTGAAGTGCGCAACGCACTCGCCACTGGAACGACCATCGCCGAAGCGCCGTCTCGCCAACACAGAAAGCTTCCGAGAGCGTGCTGAACTTGTTCGTTCCCTGAAGGAGGGAACGGAGACGTTACGTTCCGTTGCCACAGTTGCTGTACCACAGCTGTACGGCCGGGGCACGTAGTCTCGGCTCCTCAGCGAAAAACTGATGTGCGCTCTCGGGCGAGATCCCAATTCGTCAGTCACTGACGTAACGTCTCCGTTCCCTCCTTCAGGGAACGAGGGTTACACAAGTAACCTAGACGTTCTCGAAATGAATATAGAGCAGAACGATGTTGTCGCTCTGCTCCTCAGCGACAAGCTGGTATGCATTGCACCTGCTGCCTTATTATACTCACGCTGTGATCAGCGGCAGCTGGATGCAATAATTGCATGCCAATGTGCATTGGCTCGTTTAGTTTACATTCGAAGTAGATTGGTCTATCGAAGCGATATCCCAATTCGTCGGTCACCGATGTGACTCGGAGTGACCGACTGAAAGGGAACAGCATTTATTTTAAATAGTTTTTTTTAAATAGATCACGTCTAGATTATTTGTCTCTTTTGACACAACATAAATCCATATATGAACTGAAATATTATTTTGTCAACTTTTAGAGGTGCACTAGCATGTAGACGTAGTTTGAGCTGTCAGACATGGAATAAAAGCCATAAAAAATAATTTTCATAGGGTGAAGCTGTTGCTCAACACAAAGAACAGAGATAGATGTGTCAGCTAGTTCTATATATTTGATTGCACAACAAAAAAATGCAGAAAACACAATTATTCTGCTTCATTGCATCTTCAAGTAAAAACCACTCTGACAAAGATTGACGTATTTATGGCGAGGGGTTGTAGAGTGTTTTGTTGCCGTTGTTTCTTTGAGAGCACAAGTAATATAAGTGCAATCTAAAGCTCTACAGCCAAGTCTGCTGAATTTAGAAATAAAGAAACCATCACTAAAAGTATTCAGCTAGAGATGAGTCCTAAATTGTGGATGTCATTTTCTAAGCGCTGTTATTTGTGTCTCTCTTTGTTAATAGACTCCTCCTGTCTGTGGAACCAGTTTGCTTGTTCGAAGAACAAGTGCATAGCGAAGCAATGGCTCTGTGATGGTGAAGAAGACTGTGGAGATGGGGTGGACGAGAGCGTTGATCTTTGCGGTACGCATGTGACCTCTCCTTCCATTCTGTGTGACTCTAAATATTGTTTTTCTGTGCCTCAAAGGCAGCTTTTTGAATGATTTGAGTTTATACACAGGCTAAATACAGTGCAATTATTATAAATTGGGCAATTATGAAAATGTAATCATGGTTTAATATATTAGTAAATATTTGTAATGAAATGTCAGTGAGATATTAATGATATTGCTATGTTCCTAATAACGGCAAATCCAATTATACACATTAAATGCTTTTCAGAACTTGATAAGCAACACTGAACATCCAAATGCACGCTATGCATTTGTTAAGAAGCTTTCACAAATTACTCTGTGATTTCTCTAGATATTCAAGTAGGCTGTCATTTATAATCAATAGACCTGAGCAACAATTAATGGTGCATTGCTAACAAAATATTATCCAGGCTCGGTGACCTGTGCCCCAGGGTTATTCAGTTGTCCAGGCTCGTACGCATGCGTCCCCAAGCGCTGGTTATGTGACGGGGAGAGAGACTGTCCCGATGGCAGCGATGAGCTCGCTGCGGCCGGCTGTGGTAAATATTCCCATTGATCTGTTTAAAATGTCTTCTGCATGTCAATGTGTTATCGATGAAAGCTCTCTTCAGGTGTTGTTCTAGCAGCGATGCAGGCCGTTCATTATAATTGTCTATTTGATACGTGCTCAGGTCGGGATTTAAAAATTCAATGACATCCAAAGAATAAGATATTCTTAACCACAGGCACTTCATTAGCGTTGCGTTTTGTAACATGTTAGACTTTAGGCTGGATTTGGCAGATATGACTAGTACCCCAAGGTGAATAAAGTCTTAGTGAGAATTAATTAAGCTCAAGGTCCTGATGTTTACCCTGCAGCTCCAAATAACACATGTGATGAGAATTCCTTCAGATGCCTTAACAAAGGCTGCATTCCAAAGCACTTTGTTTGTGACCATGACGACGACTGTGGAGATGGTTCAGATGAATCTGTTGAATGTGGTAAGCATCTTTCTTGAAATCTGTCTGAATTAATAATATTTATTAGTTTTTTCTATATTCCAAAAGTATATTTTCAGGCTTAGGCTTTGAACAAGCTACAAACAGAGAAGCAGAGCCATTGTGAAATGCATTCTTTTTTTTATCATTGGTCACTATAGTTACCTGCTTTTCCTTTAAAGGGGTCATATGATGCTTTTTTAAAGACCATTATTTTGTGTATTTGGTGTAACAGAATATGTTGACATGCTTTAATGTTCAAAAAACACATTATTTTTCAAATACTGTACATTATTGTAAGTCCTCTATGCCCCGCCTCTCTCAAACGCTTAGTTTTCTACAAAGTCCCTCCTTCCGACAAGCACAGTCTGCTCTGATTGGCGAGCTGGCCTAGTGCATTGTGATTGGCCGAACACCGCAAGCACTCGTCGGAAATGTAACGCCACTTACCATAATCGCGAGCCTGAAAGGGGAATAGAGTCTCGTGACAGACACAGTGATGAATATGTGTTTGCAGTACACAAGCCACGGTTAAGACAGCTGACTCCACTGTGATGTGTCTCGCTCTCTCTCTCTCTCACTCTCTCTCGCGCTCTCTCTCGCTCGCTCGCACACACACACACACGATGAGCAAAATTCCGCATTTGAACAGTCAATAGCAAATACTTAAACTAAGAACTCTTGTAACACTCCAAAGAGAAAGGAAAACTTGAAATCGCATCATATGACCCCTTTAAGGAATTTGCGAAAGCTAATTTTATTTATAAAGTAAACTGAATACCACAAAAATCAACATTGAAATAGTAAAAATGTGCAGTATTTTAGTGGAAAAAGTGAGGCATTTCTCTGTTAATTTAAAGCTCTACAGTGAGCCTTAGGCTGCTCTGTGCTCGTATTATTTGTACAATACATTCTTAATTAAGAAGAACAGTTTCAAGAATAGTCAGAACTTCAATTATTTGGGGTTTTCTAAAAATGCTTTAGACTTTTTACTTAAAACTGAAACATCTGTAGGCTTTTTGATGGAGAACTTGGGCCCTGGTCTTCACAACATGAAAGGACAACCTCTCCACAGGACATCATCCGTGTTCATACACCCTCACAATTTATTGCACTAGAACTTATTGAACCAAAGTTAAAATATGAAATAGAAAGTCTGGGAAATTATTCATAACAAAGGAGATTCAAAGAGATCTCCTCATTAGCTCTTAAAAAGTCTAACCCAAGACATCTGCGGATTATTTTATTGAAAAGTAACATCACATACCTTTGTGTTTCATATTCATCTTCAAAGTTCACATAGTTCATCCAAAAATATACATTCTGTCATAATTTACTAACACCTTATGTCATTTAATATATATATATGATCAAATACATTTTGTTTTCCAAAGACAAAAAACGAAACATTAAAACAATATATATTATATGTTTTGTTTTTTGTCTTTGGAAAACAAAATGTATTTGATCATAATTTATTTATCAGAATATGTACCAAACTGTATCACATTTCAGTCTGGAGATCCAAAAAGTACTCCATATGTTCTCAAGTCAAGTGGACAACCTTTTATGGTAGTTTTGTGGTGGATTTCTTTGTCAGTTTAAAATGCTGAACACTTGAATTGTAAAACGAGCAGCTTGGACATTCAACTAAATTAAATGCTTTTGTGTCCCACGGAAGAAAAAATAATCACACTCATTTTAAAACGAATGCTGACAGAATTAATTTGTGTGTGTGTGTCAGAGCTATCCCTTTAAGATCTCTGTTTGGTAGCAAAGTGTGTCACTATGCTGACAGTCCTCACTCTTTATGCAGTATACCGCTCATGTGGGCCGGATGAGTTCCGCTGTGCTGATGGCCGATGCCTGCTCAGCATCCAGTGGGAGTGTGATGGTTACCCAGACTGCCCTGACCACTCTGATGAGCTGCCCCTTAACCTCAAATGCCTGGCTGCCGGTAATGGTCCAACAGAGCTGTGCCTGAAATATGTTTGACTGATGGATGTGGGGTTTACTGAACATCTGAGGGAATACAAGTGGCCAAGGAACATCATGGATAAAAGCAGGGGGCTGAAGTGGATAACTTTGACCTGCGGGGATGGCATTTTTTCAGCTGTGTATCAAGCATTTATTTATTTTTTTTAAAAGCCTTGCACTTACTGGCAGTTGCAGGATAAAAAATTGCAACTTTTATGCCCTCTAGCTTTGTACAGTTCCAGCCATCCAACCATTCATGCTTTATCCAAAAACATTTTTACATTTTCAGCTTGGGTTTTAACACTACACGTCTTTATTGTTTGTATTGCTTTGTACTTTTTTTTTATTTTGTTTTCTTTGTTTTCACTTTCTTCCTTTATAACTAGAGAGCTTATGCAACAGTTCCTTTTTCATGTGCTCAAATGGCCGCTGTATATCTGAGAAGAGTTTATGTGACCTGAAAGATGACTGTGGAGATCGCTCGGATGAGAAAAACTGCAATGTCAATGAATGTCTCAACCGTCGTGTCAGCGGCTGTACACAGGATTGCCAGGACTTACCAGTGGGATACAAGGTTGGTCAATAGTATATTTATACATTGTATTTTACACTGTCATTACTATAGAGTGATTAATTGTAAAGAAAAGAATGATTAACATTATGTGTATATTGTAAATACATTCTTTATTTTTAAAAATAAAGTTTTAACAAATATAAATGAATTAGATTGTAATACATTTTATAATAAATTTATGTAAGTTTGGGTATTATATTAAATCTTGTCCTCAATTGGCGCTTAATTTTATTTATTTATTTATTTTGTCCTGCTTTGTTTTTTTGTTTTTTGTTTTACCAGAAGTAACTAAAAAAAATTTAGTCACACTTTATTTTAAGGTCCAATTAACAAACCATTAACTATGATTTTTGCCTCAACAAACGCCTAATTTGCTGCTTATTAATAGTTAGTAAGGTACTGTAGTTGTTAAGTTTAGGTATTGGGTAGGATTAGGGATGTAAAACATGGTCTTGCAGAATATGTGCTTTATAAGTACTAATAAGCATCCAATGTGTTAATAATAGGCATGTTAATAAGCAACTAGTTAATAGAGATAATTGGTCCCTATACAAAAGTGTTACCAAAAAATTTTATCCAGCCAAAGCTTGCTTCTCCTAACACTTATGCAGCATTCACAAGTTGATATGTATTTCAGAATATAATCAATTTTTACAAGATACAATATGTTTTTAGCTTGAAAATTTACAGAATCAGTAACTTTTGATGCAGAGAATTTAATTCCATTAGTAATTCCATATCATAGTTGAATTGCAGTCATGCATCTCCTCACAAGCTATTTGTACAGCATCAATTATATTATTGCAGTACATTTTTGGACATTATATTATCAATAAACTCCTAATTTGCTGCTTATTAATAGTTAGTAAGGTACTGTAGTTGTTAAGTTTAGGTATTTTAGGTAATTTGCTGCTTATTAATAGTTAGTAAGGTATTAGTTAAGTTTAGGTATTGGGTAGGATTAGGGATGCAGAATATGTACTTTAAAAGTACTAATAAACAGCCAATATGTTAATTATAGGCATGTTAATAAGCAACTAGTTAATAGTAAGAATTGGTCCCTATACTAAAGTGTTACCAGCTTCTGCAGAAATGCATGTGTATTTCTTGTGCTCAGATATGTTATATGAAAAGGGCAAGAAAGGTTTTTTAAATCAAACATTTTAATTTGTCATGCAGTTGCCATATTACAAATAATAGCTTTTAAAAGTTTTTCCTTTTGTTTAAATTTTTTTATAAAACAGAACATCTTCCTTGGGACTATATATAAAATCATTCATGTCTTATTTCGTGTGACTTCAAGTTTCGCACAAATGTGACTGATGAATTGCTTTGCAGAACCTATTGTGTTTTTGTTTCTGCAACATCTTTTCACTGAATTACTTTGGCAAACATTATCAAAGTAAAAAGCCATAGAAATGATTTGTCCCAGTTTTACTTCATTGGTATTTAATTGGCATACTCAGATCAAGTTTAAACAAAGGATTGTGCCTTCGGGAGCTTTCTAGAGGTGTGCCTTAAGGAGGGAGATTTTTGAGCTAAATCTCTCGAGTTACAGACACTTCTGTAGAGTTGCTGATTGGCAAACTAGGTGTCAGGAGCGCCATGTTCACATGACCTGTGATCACCAGAGGTGTTTGAAGACAGTCCTGTAGGTAAAGAGTCTGACCTCATTCACTGTGGGATAAATTAAGGGATGTTGAGAAAAAGCCTTTCAGGTTACAGACTGAGCAGAGAACATACAGTATCAGGAGTAATCTAATAAGCTACATTGCGACAGATTTTGAAAATTTGAAAAGGCTTAACATGAAAGTTTGTGAACATTATCAGTAAAATGCCAGCACTTTTGTTCTGGTGCAACTTTTAAACCAAGTGATTTTTTTTAAAGGAAAAGATGGCTCCGAAATAAAAGTGATCCCCATTAATTTGGATTTGTATGGAAAATAGCTTTTTGTGTTTTAAAGGTGGGGTGAGCGATTTTTCAAAAACGCTTTAGAAAACTGATTCGGGCCGAGTAGCAAAACAAACTTGTAGCCAATCAGCAGTAAGAGGCGTGCTTACTCATGATGTAGAGGAGAGAGCGTTCAGTGCACAGGACAGATATTAGAGATGGCGGATAAAAAACAAAAGAGAAAAATGTCTGCGGAACAAAAGAAGGCTTAAAGGGGTCATATGATGCGATTTCAATTTTTCCTTTCCCTTTGGAGTGTTACAAGCTCTTGGTGCATAAAGAAGATCTGTAAAGTTGCAAAGACTAAAGTCTCAAATCCAAAGAGATATTCTTTATAAACGTAAAGAATCAACCACGCATATCTAAAACGGCTCGTTATAACACGCCCCCACATGTCTACGTCACAATGTGGGAAGATCTGCATAACGCCGCCCAAATGTTCACACAAAGAAAGAAGGCGTAACTTTTATTCTCGCTGTAGTATTGTTGTTGCTGCCACCACCATGCCGTGAAGGCGCTGTGTTTCGTTGTGGCGAGATCCCAATTCGTCAGTCACTGACGTAACGTAGAACGGGACTGACTGAATGGGAACTACTTTGGTTGGCCTTCCAAAAGAGGACGATATCCGCTTCGCCATGTCTGGAGCTGATCCTTGCTGGTCGCTGAGGACATACATCAACTTTGCGCTGTCGACCACCAGATCGGCTTTCACCGTGGACGAAGGGGGTGTCCAGCCTAGGGTTATCACATGTGGTTGCTGCAAGCCTGCCGGACGCTCCTTCGTCTAATTTGCCAGCCGCACCATTCTCAAGCCCGCCCGACTCTGCTCACTCAAGCCGGCCTCTGCATACTCTAGGCCGCCACTCACTCTAGGCCTCCGGCCTCCGCTCACTCAAGGCGGCAGTGTGTGACGCTGTTTCGTTGTAAAAGAGAAACTACTTTGTTTGGCCTTCCAAAAGAGGACACAACTAGAAATCAGTGGTTAGGTTGTATTTACAACACTGTTCCAGAACAGTTTAACCCAAATATTCAGATGTGTCCAGCGCATTTTATGGAGGACTGTTTCCTGATCATGGTAGAGTAGACTACAATGCCGGCTGTTCTGACTCACAGACTGTAAGTATGTTTTTTTTTTATTTAAAGAATTTGCCACTGACGATTCAAACGTGAGTTTTTTGGGCAGTGTAGAGTATTTTGTTATTTCTCCGATCACAAATACAGACATGGTTTTATGTTTACGTGGCGCGATGCAACGCAACGCATAAAAAGACAGTATAAGTCATTATAATCCATTATTATGTCCCCACTGGATGCAACAAATGCCTCGTTTATAATCAGAATCAGAATGAGCTTTATTGCCAGGTATGTTTACACATACGAGGAATTTGTTTTGTGACAGAAGCTTCCATAGTGTAACAGAATGACAGTGACAAAACAAAAAACACAGATAATAAAATAAAAAAAAAATAGAACAAGTAAATAAGGAATAAAAATATATAAATTGACAATTGTATGTGCAGGTATATTACAATAGACAGTTTTGTATGTACATGTATATTATGTGCAAAGCTCCAGTGCTGATTATACGGGTGCTGGATGTGTATTTTCCCAGCCTCACTAGCTGCTACCTGTCTGTCAGGAAGCTGTTGATCCACTGACAGACTGAGGTGGGCACGGAGAGCTGAGTTAGTTTGGGCAGGAGGAGGTTTGGGATGATAGTGTTAAAAGCCGAGCTGAAGTAAACAAACAGGATCCTCACATAAGTCCGTGGTCTGTCTAGATGATGCAAAACATAATGCAGTCCCATGTTGACTGCATTGTCCACAGACCTGTTTGCTCTGTAGGCAAACTGAAGAGGATCCAGCAAGGGTCCAGTAATGTCCTTCAGGTGGGCCAGCACCAGTTTTTCAAAAGACTTCATGACCACAGACTTTAGAGCCACAGGTCTGTAGTCATTAAGTCCAGTAATTTTGGGTTACTTTTGGACGGGGATGATCGTGGAGCGTTTGAAGCATGAAGGGACTTCGCACAGCTCCAGTGATCTGTTGAAGATCTGTGTGAAGACGGGGGCCAGCTGGTCAGCACAGGATTTCAGACAGACTGGTGTAACACAATCTGGGCCTGGTGCTTTTCTCCTTTTCTGCTTCCGGAAGACCTGGCGCACCTCGTCTTCACTTATCTGAATTGCAGGTGTGGGGGAGAGGGGGGTTGCTGGAGGTGTGAATGGTTGTGTGGAGAGGTGT